CTTAACTGGATTTAGGCATGTATGATTCTGCGTATATACTTCAGCGCTAATGACTTGTTCGTGTTAGCCAACCAATGCACAGCATCATAACATTGATATACATAGGCAACCCAATATCATTGCTAACAAGTCACCAGTCAATATACATACCTTTTCTGCATCACCAACCACAGTTTGCGGGGGAAGAATCCGGGGTAGATTATCACATTCCAATTGAAGTATGGAATGAAGGATATGATATACATGAACAAGTTTTACATGTGATCTAAGCTTTACATATGCCAACTCGGCTTGGCGGAGCTGGATATCATATTCCCTCGTATCCGCAGATGTACTTGAATATCAACGCACATACCTATGTACGTGTATTTTGTAGATTGATTAATCCCTCTATTTTAAACTTGGAAATATCCCATCTGCGCTATTCAAGATAAAAGCACGGTACGCCAAAATCAGAGGTATCATAGCAAAAAGCAGACAACCGAAACAACCAGAGGCATCACACTCCTCCAGCTCCTCTCCAGAATAACACCCGAAACAAGCCAGTTCGACAAGATTCGCCTCTAAATTTCCTCCTCCCTGCCCTGCCTAACAACCTCTTTCCTCCTAACCTCCCTCTCAACATCCTCAAGTCTCCCCTCCCATTCAGCCCAGCACTCCCCACTCCCAACGAGCCCAACCTCATACCAGCGCTGCAGCACGCGCGCTGTGCGCACCCGCAGCTCCGAGATCTCAGCAGCCTGCTCACTCTGTGTCTGCGCGAGCCTGTCTAACTGTGGCTGTAGGTCGATTAGTGCTGCGGAGCTCTGCGCGTCCGGCACGGGGAGGTCATTTAGCGATGTAAGGCGCGAGGCGGTTTCGGGGAAGGCGGTGGCGTAGGAGAGGACTATTGAGGCTAGAATTTGGTTTGTGAGGCCTTCGGGGATTTGGTGAGGTGGTGTTGTTTGGAAGAGATCTGGGTTGCGGTCGTCTAGGTGGTTTGTGTTAGTATGAATTGGATGGTTTGGAGTGGATATTTCAGAATCCATTATCCAGGTATCAGAAATGCAATTCAACTAGCGAGAGGGTATGAGATGAGGGGACGGTGTAGTGGTGAAGCGCGTGTAAATAACATTAACACTGGTCACATACGGAGTTGTAGAACGTCTCGTACGGCTGGGACCCTTCGACTAAGCCGTTCTAATTCTGATTCTAGCCGTACGAGTCGGCGGGAGACTGTCTCGTCGAGAGATGCGGGCTTTTCGGGCGTGGTAGGGACGCCGGTCCAGTCTGTGGCGCCGGTGAGGAGGTAGGCGAGGCGGCGTAGGCGCGCTTCGAGGAGTTCGATGGTGGCTCCGGCCAGTGCATCACTTTCGAGGGCCATGGCCTATGGAGATCAAAGATCAATTTGGGGAATTGTGAGGGGAATTAACAGAGAAAGGGTGCCTTAAGCTTGGTGAGGTGCAAACATGGCAAAATGTGGGGACAAGCTTATCAGCCGTAGAAACCTCCTGAGGTCGATGTAGACTTTTGTATGCAAGACTATGTCTTTTTAATATGGGTTTCTTCACACGAGACCGATACTTAGGAGTTGAGGGTTTATTACAATCTGATATTTGACATATCTCAAGCTTGACATTGCTCTACAGTATCTACACATTCATCACTCAATCACTCATTATTCATGTGCTTCCTTCTCCGCATGCTTAAGATGATTTGCCATTTCCTCATCATCAGCACTGTTCCACGCTAAATCCACTTGCGAGGCAGTGGACGCCGTGGAGTTATTTGCAGTGGCAGGATGGCCCAAGAGACTCGCTCCATCCTTCTCCTGCATCTCTTGGCTGGGCTTTGGCTCGTCGTCGAACGCGGAGACCTCGTAGTCAAAAACATTCACCTTTGTGGACTTCTCTGACATTTCAGGCTGCTGTTCTTTGGGCTGAGTTTCCACGTTGTTCGGCTCCGCCCAGGGATCTTCCTGGTCACTAAAGATTATGGTAGGGGTATTCTCGAATTCGCCCCCAAAAGCATCATTGTCCCTGTTCACGAAGCCCTTTTTTCGGTTAGCCGGGGACCGCATAACGATCTGATAACACTAGTGCATCTTACCTGAAGCTGTGACGGCGCAGGATCCACTTTTGAATTCACTGCATTCTCGCTCGCATAAACAAGTAAGACAGAACTCCACTCTTCACGAGCGGCTTGGAGGACTTCAATCTCCTGAACTTTCCGAACAGTGTAGCCAACAACCTCGCTATCCTGTGTAGCTGCAGTGTTGCCTTGGGCCTTTCGTTTCTCGGCTTGTCGGGTTTTTCCATCTTCCCCTGAGAAGCTGATACGCCACCACTGGTAGTCATTGTTGTTTTCGGTCTCCGAGTCCATATCCATCAAGTGTCCCGGAGTAGTCGTTCTAGGACTTGATAAAACATAAGTCACATGCGGTTCAGTGCATACACCTTGGAGTGTATACTTGTGGAAAGGAGGCTCGGAAGGTGATTTGGGAGGTTCGATGAGTGTCTTTGATATCTCACGAAGAGACTCCATGGCACTCTGCTTTCTAATTTCCAGTTCTGTGCTCGTATGATTAGCCAACAGTATGAGCACGGCAGAAACGGCTATCTTCACCTTTTAGTTTAGCTTCTATGTTCGTAGCGATTGCTCTCAATTCCTCTGCAACTCGCATTGTCTCTGCACCTGCCGCTCCTGAATCAGACTGATCAGACTCACCCACTTGCTCGGGTGTAACCACTGGCACCGCCTGGGCAGCTTGTTCGAGGAGTTCCGTGATCGTCGAGTTGCCCACGGGATCCCGTGGAATTGTATAGCGATGTATGAGTTGTTCGAGTTTCAACACATCTCCCTGTATCTGTTGTCGTTTTGCACGAAATTCACGGGAGAGATCTCGGCAGCTGCTAAGATATCGATCTGGGTAGAACACAGAGTGAATATCCACACCAACAGCGTTTGGTTTTTGAAGAGCATCAAGTCTAATGACTAGCACGTCTGCTAAGTGTTCAAGCCATGTGTCATCAAACTCCTTCCCCGGTCTGTCAGACCATAAAGCTGAATCCAAAACGTCATAGAGCGTTTGATCATTGTCCTGCTCAACAGGAGGCTCAAAAGTGAAGAGTTCCCTGGTGATGGGCTCAACAAACTCGTCGAAAGTTTCTCTCTTGAATGCATAGGTCGTGAATATGGTTGTCAGTGGATTTTCAGGATCTGCCTGAATGGCTGCACCATGCCACGCTTCCAAAAACCTGGTGACAATCTCCTCCGAATCAGCCGATAAGGATGACATGCTATTGATTTTTGCTAAGCTGTCGCTGCTGCCAAAAGCACGTTTCGTGGTATCCATAAAAGCCATCAAGCGCTGGGTCTCATGAACGATATCATCCCAGTCGCTATCCCCGGTCTTACCATCATTCACCGTGACAATCTTCGGCAGGTTAATCGGTTGCCCGTTCCACCACTGCGGCTCATGGCCGTAGTCAAACAGTGGTTTATTCCGTAAGAGCAATGCTTCTCGCGCGAGGGGAATACTATGGAGAATCGTCAAGAGTCCTCCTAGGTAAAGGCCGTCGGTGTTGGGGCGGATGAACGCAGGCTCGCCCTCCACTCTTTTGCGGTCTTCCGGATCTGGGCTAATCATGACTTCTTCGGAGGATGTGTTGAATAGGGTCATCGCCCAAGCACCTTCCTCGTAGTGATCCCGAGTTGCTTTGTTGAACTGCGGCTGTCTATGCGACGTCACCCCGGTTTCCTGCTGCCCCATGTCCGAATTCAATGACATAGCAACTGCCTGCTGTAATTCTTTTTCTTCGCGTTCTGCCAGACTGAGCCCATGTCCGGAACCTTCTATATGGTCAAGTAACCGCAAATTAGTACACCTTTTGCAGTTGAAGCGTAAAGACTGTGATACCTTTCGGAGCGATCACGACAGAATCTTGATACCCAGCGTTTTGTTCCGAGTCACGTATGTCTACTCTGGAAGGAGGACGAGTGGGCGGTGCCGTCGGTGGCATTGGTGGCGCATTGTCTTGTTGAGCAAAATCCCATGCTGAGGCGGGGTATGTTAATTCCCAAACCGAAGTCGCATAAGGGAGGTTATCTTACAAGAGCCTCCGTTGTCATTCCAGTAACTAGTTATTGGCTTGGCGGTGTCAGATCATAGCCAGGAGTTGCTGCGCGTCGCCAAGTTTACCTGTAGCTGAGACCCTGTCGGATCTTCGAAGTACGCGTTGATCGCTTTCTGTGAGTCGAGATTGTTTGCCTGTACGCGATAGAATTAGCTCGATTTACTTATCATCCCGATGGCAGTCCTCTACCTTCAAGAAGGCGATGGCTTGCTCGCGTGTGGTGCTTGTGAAGCTGACGAAGCTGGTGATAGCTTCCTCGGTCGGTTCGGAGGCCATGTTGTTGTTGTCTAGTTCTGCGCTGAAGCTAGATACCGATAGAATAATGAATGAGCATGAGAGGGACACAAAAAGCAAATAGAACAAAGCAAATGGGGGCAGAAGAGTTGGGGAAGAGAAAGACAAAGTGTCGCAACTGAGCTTCCCCACCACATGACGCCAAGCATCATTCCGCTATTTGCGTCTCTTTGTACTTCTCCTAGTCCTCCCTCTGCCTCGATTCTTCACTTCTTTGAGCCTAAAATATACACGATTAAACATTCTCGAACATTTCTTTCATTTCATAGCCTGTTCCAAGTTTATCAAGGCCCATTGGTCGGACTAGTTCACGTTCACAATGGATATATATATTTTTCGAGAACTGATTGTCTCCCTTTCAAGTCTTTGAACGGCCTACTCTGGGTCTTTCACCACAATAATATTTATGGTTGAAACAAAGCAATGCATTAGTACAATAGCTCTTGGGCTGTCGGTCCGAGTGGATATAAAAACCCCTCTATTCCGCGCCAGATAATCATTCATCACATTGTAAACAACACATCATCCAGCATCGAGCATCGAGCTTTCACTTTCACAAGCTCTCGAATTTTCTCATACTATATAGTTACAATGGCCTACGTACCCCAAATCACAAATAAGAAAGCCAAGAAGGTCAAGACAGTCAATACCCCCAATACCACCATTAAGAAGACCACCAATAGGAAGACTGCCAGGGAGAGCGCCAATAGGAAGACCACCAAAAAGGCTCCCAATCCTCCTGTTGATCTCAACAAGCTTTTCCCACCCTGGGGCTCTGAAGACGCACTGAACCAGACGGCAAACAAGGAAGCTACTGATATCATTCTAGCCGTGTACCATGACATCAATGCTTACTGCAATCTCGAGAGACATGCGAGAAACAAAGTGTACGATTCTCAAGAGACGTTCTCCAACCTGCTTGTCTTCACAGAAGGATTTGTGGAGCGGGAAATCGGCTACTACACGTCCTGCGTGGAATCATTCAAGGCGGAACACGGTGAGTTCCAACCTGTCACACCTAACAGTAGATTCTTAGAATTCGTTACTGGGCTAGGGTGGAAGATGTTTGCTATCTGTGCCCATGCCGAAGCATTCCGACGGGGTATCAAAGAAGCCGACGATAGGACCTGGGGGTTCCTGCTCGAGAAGATTCACGAAAACTCCGTGAGTATTGAACTTTATGCGCACAGCCGTACCCTGAAGTGGCGTAATATTCTTCAGGTCTACCAGGACAACCCCATCCCAGGCCTGCCAGATATGAAACCCGAAATCGAGACATACATGGTATGGAAAGTCGACCACCCTCATCACACGGTCATCACGCTTGATGGCAAGCTAAAGGAACCCACATACAATGGCAAGTTACAGCAACACATCAACGAGAGTATCTATGATCCCAAGAAGTGGAGTGGTCAGAAACAGGACCCGACACTTCGCAAGAAGCCCAATGGCAGTTCAACCAACGTCGGACGCAACTGTGTTCTATGCGGCAGCCCTGTTTCTTGTGACTGCCGCTTGACATCTCGGGCAGGAGAACTGGTTGAGCTTAGAGAATACACCGAGAAGGGTACTGGTGTCCGAGCGCTGGCGAGATTCGGGCGCGGTGATATTCTCGATATCTTCATGGGTGAGCTCCTTCCCTACCCCGCAGAGGAGGTCTATCCTCTAACACAAAGCGACGACAAATCGGAGTTCTCCAATCTGTGTACAATTTGCCCTCACCAGTTTGGCAACTGGACTCGTTATATCAGCCACTCGTGCCGGCCCTCGACGCAATTCATGACTCGCACCATTGGAAAACAAGTTGTGTGCACAGTTGAAGCTATTCGCGATATTCTGCCATTCGAAGAGATCACTGTTAGCTATGGCAATAAGTACTGGGAGTCTGCTGGCTATAACTGCCTATGCGGACACTGCGATGGTTCTGGGACTGACTAGAAATAGATTAGCCAACTATATATTCTGCATCTTAGAGTTGAGAGCTGATTTTGATAGCAAAGCATTGAATAGACCCTTGATTTATTTTACTTCAACGCATTAATGTAGGAAATATGTAGTGTCCACTCTAGCACCAAGGTGATAGGGTGATGTAGTTCCTCGGGTATCCCCGCAGTTCTGGGGGTGCGGGGAAAGCTATACTTTCCGCGGACTTACTCCGCCTTTTGCGTCCTTGTCTCCCTGCTGTTCTAAATCCCTTCATTTGGAAAATTTGACTACTACCTATCGCATTGCCCTACTCGACTGATACAGTCAATTGCAGCCCTCAAGTAGTCATGAAATCTTGGTCAAGCTAGCATTGGAACAAAAACATGAGCTACAGCGGAATTATCACGGGGCTGAGCCGGAGAGGCTGCACATCCTGTCGGAAGTGTGTGCTTGGAGGAAAGAGAGTCCTTCAGCAATCATCCTTGGTCAAGAGAGGGCTACTGACGGAGAGCTATGCGCGGGGGCCATCAGGTGTAAGTATTCTCTATCTAAGAACAAGGAAATAACAGTATTTATCTGACCGTATTGCTTTCGATATAGCCGCCCTTGATTGAGTCCACAGTTGGGGACCATTTCGCCAAGATTGTCGCGGAATGCGGAGATAGAACAGCGTGAGAACCGTGACGCAAAATTGGAGAATTAAGACTGGAGATATTAACTATACTGTCCAGTGTTATCTCGAGACACCAAAAAGATCGAGCAACGTATGCCTCCTTGGACACAAGAAGCAATGCCCTCGCCCGGGGGCTGGAATCACTGGGTGTTGTGAAGGGGGAGCGGGTTGGAGTCATGCTTGGGAACTCGATGGAATACGCTGTGGTACGTTGCGTGTCCCTAAAAATGGTTGAGAAGAGAAGAACAAGGCTTACACCCGTGAGCAGGCAACATACGCGTTATTCAAACTTGGCGCCGTCTTGGTAAGTCAGTCCGCTCATTGTGGTAAGCAACATTGTATCTAATAATTTGATAGGTTCCGCTCAATCCGTCTTTCAATACTGCACAAGTGATTGCGGCCCTAGGTCACCTAGGATCCGGTCATCTTCTAATAAGTACAGAGTCCAATCTGCCCCGAAAACAACCGCGCAGTAATGTTCCCTTGCTCAACGACATTGTTGAAGACCTCCACAAGTCAAACCTGGAGTCCGCATTGGTCCCTTCTCTGAAGAACATCATTATGGTCGATAACTCTGAAGGCCGCGTGGATATATCTTCCTATAAAAGCTTGACGCCGTATGCATCTATTGTGTCCCAGCTTACTGCAGACGGCCGCCCACTTCCTCCCCAGAATCTCTCACCGGATGAAACTGTGAATATCCAGTTCACGTCAGGAACCACATCAATGCCCAAGGCAGCATGCCTTACCCATCGCTCAATTCTAAACAATGGCTCTCAGATTGGCGATCGCATGCTTCTCACGCCGAATGATATTGTCTGTTGCCCACCACCGCTGTTCCATTGCTTCGGCGGTATATTAGGCTATATGGCAACAGCAACCCACGGCTCAGCCATCGTCTTCCCCAGTGAATCTTTCAATGCTCGGGCTGCACTAGAAGCTGTTCAAGAGGAGAAATGCACCGCGCTGCACGGTGTACCGACAATGTTCCTCGAGGAGTTGAGCATGATCGAGATGGGAGAAATCTCCAAGGAGGGATTCCAGTATCTTCGCACGGGAATCGCTGCTGGAAGCAGTATTCCTTCTGAGATCATGAAAAAACTACACAAGGTATTGAACCTGACCGAATTGACGATTTGTTATGGAATGACGGAAACAAGCCCCGTCTCGGCTATGACAACGACGGATGATCCCATCGATAAGCGGATCTACTCTGTCGGAAAACTCATGCCACATGTCGAGGCAAAGATTGTGGAACCGATGGACAAGAAAGAGATTCTCCCCATAGAGACACGGGGTGAGTTGGCAGTAAGCGGGTACCTGCTGATGAAGGAATACTGGGATGATCCAGAAAAGACCGCGGAGGTGATGATTCCAGATGAGTCTGGAAAGTTGTGGATGCATGTGAGTCTAATCATCTATTATTTGTCTCAAGTAATGCGAATTTCTCTGACCTGTGCTTTTAGACTGGAGATGAAGCTTCCATGTCCTCGGATGGATATATCACTATCACCGGACGGATCAAAGATCTGATTATTCGCGGTGGCGAGAATATACACCCCCTAGAGATCGAGAATTGCTTGCTAGCCAACGATAGCGTTGCAGATGTGTCTGTCGTTGGCGTCCCCGACGCGAGATATGGCGAGGCAGTGGCTGCTTTCGTTATTCCTCGGGACCACGGCTCAAAAACAGTCACTGCTGAGGATATTCAGCAATGGGTGCGTGAGAAGCTTAGCAACCATCTTAGTAAGTTATAACCCAGGCCTCGGGACTGCTGCATCGTTTCCATCGTTTGCAGCTAGTCTTCAGTCATCCTCACAATTGCCATATAAACCCAGCTGATGTTTTGCTTGCGTATAGTTCCGAAGCATGTTTTCTTTTTGGGCCCTTTGGAGCCTTTCCCGAAGACGGCAAGTGGAAAAATCCAAAAGTTCAAGCTCAGGGAGAAGGCCATTGCACTTTTGACCAAGAGCGCTCCATAAATAGCGAGCATACAAGGCCGAGGCCTGACTTTGCATAGATTCTAAATGGATGAGTGCCTGATTGCTGTACATACTTAGTTATTCAAGTCTTATTAGATAGAATTGTCGTATGATCAAGGGTAAATTAAGAGCCTGAATAGATACATTCATACTGTTGCCAGATTAAGATTCAAAGTAGAGTGTTCGCTCTGAAGTGAACCCTGGATCGTCAGAAATTGACAACAGCCAAGTACCATGAGCAAGAGCCAGTAGTTGAAGCATAAACCTAAAAATGTTCTCACGGCAACAGAGTTTTCAGCGATAGTGTCGGTGTGAGCACCTGCTGTCTTCCAGGATACCAAGTCGTGGTAGCCAGTGGCCATCGCGGACACTTTCAGACCTGCCACATCTTAATGACGAACACGAAGCTGTCGATGGGGTAGGGATCTCGAAAGCAGTATCAAATCCCTCTACTGTGGCTTTCAAGGGCGGTTTGTTTCAGAAGTAGCCGAGTGATGTCAGTCAGACCAGCACGAGCAACATGTATAACATAACATGTAGCCAGTGAGCAAGCTTGCTGTAGCACACATCTTCAGGGCACGTGCAACGAGGTTTCTCTGAATCTAGAAATCCTGAATGCCTGTTTCTCCCTGGAGATTTGGGCGAGCGCCGTCCTCGCAAGTGCCGTCAACCACCCATTCAGGCTCCTCATCCTCGAAATACTGGTCTTGCTCATCCGAGTGATCATCATAGTCGTCATTTTGATCAACGGTCTCGTAATCGAAATCAGAGTCATTACCCTGCATGAAACGCAATCCCATCTCCCAGCGCCAGAGCCGCTCGCCTTCCTCCTTATTTGGGGGTATTTCATCACGGTCCTCAGCAAGGATCTCCCCATCTGGGCCGCGAGTATAGGTCATCATAGCGTTAGGGTCTGGGTTTGAGATCGCGTCCATCTTGGCTTCAGATCGCAGGAGATCAGTCTCCAGGACGCCTGAAAACCCCTTCGCTCGCCCCTCGGCCTCTCTTTCTTGTGCTGTCTGGAACCGGCGGATGAGGCGATCGTATAATAACGGGTCTGTGGAGAAGTCGATTAGGATTAGCATTGTGTTTTCTTGTTCGCTCCTGTATGCAAAGCCAGCTGGCACCAGTAATAAACCAGGCCAGATAATGTGTAAAATGATTAACTGGCAATGGGAGAGAAGAGATCAGGCGGACCGGCTAGCTCAAGCCCCGCCGAGAAGTATTCTGGGTGCAAGTCCAGATACCGCTTGCGACGGTTTTTGACTGTGACAGCTTTTTGTGCGCTGGACACATCTTTGGCCGTAAACCCAGAATCCTTGGGGAAATGTGGCATCTTTGGTGTGTTTCAGAGTGTGGAGATGGATAGGAGAGGAGAAGGAAGTTGGGAACGCGGAGCTCAGCGGCAAAAGTGCCTTCACCTCCGCAATAACTTTTTTCTCGTTGAAGAATATTTTGAGATGTATCTGCTTTGAACGTGTAAGTTGGGGATCTCATTCAAAATACCTTTTCATTATTCTATGGATGTTTTTTTGCAATAAGGGGGAAAGGACACAGTTTCAGGTTGCTAACAAGCCTGCAGATGCGCTTTCTAGGTTGATTTCCCGTATATCCAGAACTGCATCAGCTGGAAATAATGTCCCCCCAGGACATGTTGCGGCACATTGATGCCCGGCGGTTCACTACCGGTGTGGTTTTGCTGATCCTGCTTGCCTTCTACTCGCCCCTTTCGAAGCTTGTCTTGTCTCCAACATATGGATCCTTCCCCGCGCATATCTTCCATAATTTTGGAGTGGCCATCTCCGGCGGAATCGGGTGGCTACTGAAGGACAAGATTCTCAAGCGCATGGGCCGTCTAGGTGGCTTTATGCTCCCTGTGTTGGCATTCTGGGTTCCGACTCTCCAGTACTTTATCAAGCAGCAAAGCTCTAAGATTGGCAACCCCACAGGCCCAGTGATCACAGAACTTTGTGGTTACTACCCTCTGGTGCTGTTGACCGTCGCCTATGCCGGAAAGCAAATCCAGACTGCTTTGAGACTCGAAGCGCAGGGCGACGTGATAGTTGAGCATGTGCCCCTGATAGGTACATATATATTCTACTCGGCTGGCGACCACATTGCCCAATATGTTCTTTCATGGATTGTTGGGACCTCGGTTATTTTCACCAGAGTTGGCATGCAAATGCTTCTCGCAGCCTGTTACTCTGTGCTCATCCCGTCAAAATGGCTAGTCCTGGCCATTCCCTCCATCATTTTCTCGGTGACTTCGAACGTACATTTCGCTGGAATTAGTGGTGTCAATTCCGCGATTGAGCACGAAGGTTATTCTCTTTTGGCACGACAGGAAGCTTACACTGGGTACATTTCTGTTTTGGAAAACCACAATGAAGGATTCCGAGTTATGCGCTGTGACCACAGTCTGCTTGGTGGACAGTGGACCAAGCTGGCGCCAGGCTACCGGCCTGAGGTGGATGACCCTATCTACGCAGTCTTTGCCATGCTCGAGGCTGTCCGTCTGGTTGAGCCGGATAATGGCGTTTCCCGCGTTGACGCAGACAGCAAGGCGTTAGTCATGTAAGAATCATGCAAAAAGGATCGATCGTCCAGTTTACTGACAGGAAATAGTGGTCTTGGAGTCGGCACAACACCCTCTGCGCTCATCAAACACGGCATTGAAACTACCATCGTCGAAATCGACCCTGTGGTGCACAAGTTCGCCACTCAATATTTCAACCTCCCGCCAAACCACATCTCCGTCATTGAAGACGCCGTAAAATTTGTCAAGAAGGCACAGTCCTCCCCGAATACACCCCAGTATGACTATATCGTCCATGATGTATTCACCGGAGGCGCCGAGCCCGCCGACCTCTTCACATACGAGTTCCTGTCAGGCCTTCACTCGCTCCTCAAGGAAGACGGTGCCATTGCCATTGTGAGTTTCATCGAGGCAACAAGCCCCCCAAATTAATCACAGACTAATGAATGGAACACAGAACTACGCCGGTGATGTGGCCCTCTACCCAACCGGTCTCGTCGTCCGCACCATCAATGCCGTTTTCCCATCTTGCCGCATCTTCCGCGAAGAACCCACTGGAGATGACGAAGATACTGACTTCACCAACCTGGTCCTTTTCTGCAAGAAGAGCTCTAACACACCGATTCAATTCCGTGACCCTGTCCCGGCAGACTTCCTGCGCAGCAAGTCTCGTGAAAGCTACCTTGTTCCCAAGCACGAACTCGACCCTGCCATCTTTGCCTCTTGGCCCAAGGGCGGTAGACCAATTTTGATCGCTAAGCAGGCCGGAAGATTGCACAAGTACCAGGATCGCAGTGCGATCAAGCACTGGTCTATCATGCGCAAGGTTATGCCTGATGCCGTGTGGGAGAACTGGTGAGTGTTGAAAGGGAGCTGAGTAAAATTCGAAGATCGAATATTACTCTTGCTCTGACTTTTATATTGTCTGTCTATATTAGAAGATCATAGGTACCAAATAATAGCAAACTAGCCTACAAAAACATCGCCTTTTAGATATACTCAAAGGTACATCTACTTGCTGTTTCGTCCTTCGTATTGCTGGAAAGACACGTAGAATAACAAATCACAGACTTCATATTGGTATCATTATCTAACACCTGCCGACAAGCCAGGGAGCTCCATCCACTGCTAGAGTAAGCAACAGAGCAACTGTCTCCCCTTCAAAGTTTCAAAAGTCCCCCAAGAGCTCTTTCATCTCCATATATCAAACCACCCAGCCCATCACCAACAGTGAGAGTTCCGGCCTCTGTATTATGTACGCACAAAGAACTAAAATACAGCGAGAAAAGAATGAATCAAGCCGAAGGACTGCCACGGGGACTGGAGCCAGGTTTCTTGACGAGGCCAGCGAAGAAGTTCGCCAGGGCTTGGTTGTGCGCTTTCTCGTCACTGCCGGCGGTGCCTGCATATGGGCTCTCTTTCTTTAGGGTTCGACTAGCCTCGCGGTCCTGGGGTAAAATTTAGCTATGTCCTGGGTTGGGGTGATGATGCCGCGCTGGACGGGTGCTTACCCGAAGCTTTTTCAACATATCATCGGCGTCCACTTGGATTCCGCCCATGTTGAACTGTACAGGGCCGATGTGGTCGTTGACTTTGCCTTCGTCGGCCATGGGAGACATCTCCAGTTGCGGGGTTGGCTGGTTTGAATTCTCCTTCTCATCCTTGGCTTTGAGATCCTCCAGTTTCTCCACTTGGGTTGCGAAGAATTCTTGGAGGTCGGTGGTCTCGACTTCGATCTTGGTCGTGTTGCCGTGGGGGTTGGATGTGCCTCGTTTAGGGTCATTGATGGTCAGTTCGAACATGGTCACTGCACTTGTGCCTTCTTCTGCTACGCCATTCTCGCCCTGCTGGTTGTCGTCTGTGGATTGGTAGATTGACTCGGGAGGCTCCTGAATCTCAATCGACCACGCCGTCGATACTCCCTCCATGTCAAATCCTTCCCGAATAATTCGGATCTTACCCCATGAGTCCCAGTTGGCTGGCACTAAAATCTTGTCTCGGTCGATCACATTATGCTTTAATGATTCTCTTTTCAAAAGAGAGTGTATGCCCAGAGAAGAATGAATCAAGCCCTGAAGAGAGTTTGCAAGGAATGGGGTAGTATAGATGAGCGATGCGCCGTCTGTATAGAGGTCAGAAAAGAGCACAAAATGGCCAAACACAGGGTAATAAAATCCTTACGCTTCAAGAGAATCGTTCTGAGGAATTGGAGAACGAAATCGAACTGCTCTTCGTGCCATCCGTGATCTTTCTCTAATTTCTCGATTTTATCCGCCTGAGAACGTCGCGAAGTAAAGTCAGCAAAGGTATACCAGCAATTGATCTCTGGATAAGAGTTTACATACCCCTTGGCAGACAACACACATTGGGATTCCGAGGCCCTCATCCCATTCACCGGGTCCTAGAGGTATTGTGACCGGACCGCTTGAGGTTGAAATGCCGCCTGCAGCCGCAGAGCTGGGATCAATTCCCCTTTTGCGATCGCGCCATTCCGTCATGGTCTCTTCCATAACGAATTTGGTTTCATCGTCAAGCGAAACGAGCACAGAACGTAGCAGACGGGTCCATTCTCTTAGCCTGCGAACCCACGTCCATGGGTCTGACCAGTCCATCAGAATGACAACCAGCGTTTCCGGGACGGACTTGGGGGTCAAAAGTGGTTTAAGGAGAGGTGCGAATGACGGAGAGGGCTCGGACAAGAGGTACGCCGAGACGCGTGCCAGGGTATCTGCGCGAGAGAAGCATTAGCATATGCCTGATCAAAGAGTGCATTCTCCGTGTACCTTCTTTATCAGCATCGAGGACATCTCGATATGTGTATCCAAGCGCAAACTGATTGGCAATTGGTGGTGTTTTCCCTTTACCTTTCCGCTTGTCGTTTACTAAGCTAGGGTCTGCAGAGGTGTCCGCGGAGAAAGTATCTAGAAATTCCCTTTGGCTGTCCGGCGTGCCACCTATGATCGAGCTATTAGCGACGGGTCCAAGATGAAAGACGGGACTAGAAATGAAGATGAGCGGCACGGGAAAGCTCGGATGAACTGGTACTAACCTAGCACTAGCAAGTTCTTCTCGGGTAAGCGCTTGCCGTTGGCAACAGTATCTAATAGAGAGGACCAAATGTTCTTCTTGGAGCCATCTTTGCTGGTTGGCCGACTGCTCGTCTTCCCGGGATTCGGACTGGAAGGCATCGTGTCAAGTCCCACCGTGCCTCAAAGGGCATTCACCCTTCCAAATGTCTGTCTCTACCGTAGTACAGCGGAGATATTGTTCGCGTGGAAATGTGGAGGCGGAGGGCTTGTAAGGCGAAGCAGCGTTGCGGGTCAGGGGAATCCCGAGGGAGATGGGTAAATGTAGGCCCAAGTGAAACAACCCTAATCGCGAAGGGATCTCCGATTGCAAGTCACAAAAAAAGAGGAAGGTCTTTTTCTGGCACGTTGTTGAGCAGGGGGCTAGTTTGCATTGTAAAGGTGCGTCTCCGTAAACAATTGATTATTACGGTTCAGCGCGGGCTCCACATTTCTTTCTCTCCAACTTCTGCCACACCTTGAACTATTCTCCCGTGCACATTTCCCTCCATGAATTCTATTCGCCAGGTCCAGGCGCTCAATAAGCGCGAGCTTGAGCACGCGATGTAAGTTGAACTCATGTGAAGCTCCCGCAAAGCTCTTTTTCCCACTGACAGTCTTACCTTCCACCTATAGACCCCCAGAGGCATCATGGCATGCAGATTACCGCGACACAGCCTATATCTACATCGGAGGACTTCCATTTGATCTATCCGAAGGCGACATCATTGCGATTTTCTCACAGTATGGAGAACCGGTGCATGTCAACCTAGTCCGCGACAAGGAAACAGGCAAGAGCAAGGGATTTGCCTTTCTGAAATATGAGGACCAGCGCAGCACAGATCTTGCTGTGGATAACCTCGGTGGCGCAACTGTCATGGGCCGTTTGCTTCGAGTGGATCATGCGCGCTACAAGCGGAAGGACGATGAGGAAGAGCAGGACAATGTCGCCAAGCTGATGGGAGATCCCGGCGTCAGTGAGAACAAGAACAAGGAGGACGACCGGAGGAGGGGAACCGCAATAGAAGAGAGGCGACCTATGCTGAAAGAGGAAAAGGAACTGGAAGAATTGATTCGGAACCACGACGAGGAAGACCCGATGAAGGAATTCCTCATTGAGGAGAAGAAAGAAGAGATCGCCACTGCAATCCAGTTGTGGAACAGCACCAAGAAGTCGTCTCGACGACGCGACGACAGCAGAGAACGATCAAGCCGGCATCACCGCCGACACCGTTCCCGTTCTCCTCGCGAGCGAAGACATAGAGATGATCGCTCTCTGGATAGGGAGCGGCAATCTCGCCATAGGTCATCCGAAAGAGGAGAAAAATCTAAAAGGGACCGCTCGCCGAGGAAATCACGCTCGCCAGAACCCCGAAGACACCGGAGTGATCGGGATAGACATGATCGCCGCCATTGAAAGATATATGAGAAATTGTTATAAAGGTTGCCAACGTTATCTACGGTGCTACACATATTTCTCGCCGAGATTCTCTTCTTGCAAATTGGGACACCCTGACCAAATAAGAGCGTTTCCCAGTCCAGAAAGCGATGCCATGATTCAAGCTTGATGCTGGCAAAGAGCTGGGTGCTGCAGACAAGGTGTTCGTTACTTGCTGGGCGATAGACTACACCCTTGGTGTGACAGACCGGGGATTTTCCTTTTGTCAACCCAGATATCTTTTCCAGCCATCCCGCAGACAATACCTCTTTCCTTCCTCGCCATCTCGAAGCACAAATTTCTCCCAGCGCCCTTCTTTTCCAGATCCGACTACCAACAGAGTCTGGTCATCGCACCAGCCTATGAGGCCTTTTTGAGGCCGACCAAATGATGACCCGATCGGTGGCACATGCGCCGAGCCCAGGTTGGCTTGCTCACCAATCTCAAAATGTGCGTTGGCAAATGAATAAACATCCGAGAACACACGAGGAAGCAGGGGAATCTTGCCAAGGATTCCCCATTTGTAGCTAGGAGGTGTTTCCTCTAATGCTGATGATGGTGATTGACTGCGACGAGTAACGGGTTGCTGGTGGGGGATATCAAAGATGTGGAGAGTCGATTTGTCAGATGTTACTGCCAGCAAAGTATTGGACGGCGAAAAGGCAATTGAGAATATCACTGCGTGGTCAACACCGCGTCGCAATTCTGCTAGCTTCGTGCAATTTCCTGTAGCGAATATACGAACCAAAGTCCCCTGGATAGATGTCAATAACCCACCCATAGATGATCGCAGCCTAAGATAACTTACGGACTCACTTGCAGTCGCCAGCAAGTTCCCATCAGGACTCAAGGCCATAGCCCGCAATGGTGTGCTATGTGCGGGTATGATGCTGATGTTGCCGGTCTCCAGCTCTATCATTTGGACCTGGCCGGGAGACCGACCAGGGAAGGCCAGCACCTTGTTATCGAGACAGGCTAGCCCCAAAGGGTTGTCGGAGGTTTCAAAGACTGAAAGTTTCTGGGGAGGGTTGGAGAATGCAAAGACATGGACGCTGTTCAATAAAACAGCGACGATTTTTGTTTTGGAGAGACGGACACCGAGCACGGAGGTGCGGAATTCAAGTGTGATGGCGGCTTTCTGTTTGGCATCGTCCCATATAACCAACTGGGGATATCTGTGAGCTTAGATTCTCAGATTATGCTAGGGATAATTGCCTACCTTATTCTGTGGGAACTTGGGGTTCTTTCCACCACCGACAATGGCCAAGTAGTTCGACTGGCCAAGCATTTCCGCTATCCCGATGCCTGCGTTGAAATCTTAAGTGCAAATAAGCGAGTCAAGGTAAGTGACTTGATATTTTGTATATTCACAACGTGTAGATCAATCGCTTACCTCTCAAAACCTTGAGCTCGCAAGGGTTGGCGTTATATACTGTTCGGGGCGTTCATCAGCCTGGGTTCCATAGTTCATAATATGAGCTAGCTTCTCCCTAGGTTCTCCTAATAGCTAGATCAAGCATTCCTCACCACAAAAACCCGTGTCCAAGCCCACTGAGAAGCAGCTGTTATCATGATTAAATGTTGCTGAGAGTGAATATGGCCCGGTGGACTCATCGATAGATTGGCGGGTATTCATTGCTGTATGTCAACGAAGCATAGGAAATAATTTCTTGATCAGATAGATCGATCTGGGTAGACTCTGTATAGTAAAGTCCCCAATCGCTAATAAATAGTTGATCTTAAGAATCTTTCCAGGTTCAAAGCTTCAAATGCTTGGATGTCTGAGATCATCCCCGAGCTTCTTAATCGATAAGAGCAATGCGGGCAAGATCCACATCGACGCCTCAGGCCGTGGATTATGTAATCATACGGTTGCCAGCAGCGACCCACTTCGATCAACCCCTGAGTTGCTGTTCGATGTGTTGCTGATGGGAATGAAGGCGATGTTGTAAATGGAAATAGGGGGAATACTCGGTAGATAATTGTCAATTTCCTGAAGTACTTTTTTTTTTCTTTTTTCATCCACTCATCAATTGTGACTGATCGAAAGCTTTGTAGAAGTAAAAAGTAGCTGGAGAAGAAGAGCTGTCCCGTGATTGGCCACCTATTTGGGAAAGGGGGAAACACGAACTGTCTTTCCTCCCCCCCTACTCTCTCCAGACTCTCAGGAGAGGCAAGTTTCAAACCCTTCGTCTTCGTTGTTAATTCCTTGCTTTGGACTTCTTTCTCCCGCTACACTTCTTTAATCTTCCCTTTACTCACAATGTCGTCAGCCCTCAATGCGGTATGTACATTCCCCTTTTATTGGGAGCTTCCCGCCTTCTCTTAAAGCTTCCCAAGCTAATTGCATGCCCGTACTTGTTCCGGGTAGATCAAGATTCGTCGCAAGAAGAATGTCAAGAAGGGTATCCAATTCTGTTTGATGGTGTGCGGCGCCAGTGGAACAGGTATGCTTACAACGAATCACTCGAATTTCAGGGACTAACCGGATCCTCTTTTCCGCGACAGGTCGCACAACTTTTGTCAACACTCTCTGCGGCAAGCAGGTCCTAGAGGGCAAAGATGCCGATGATGCTGCCAATGCTCACCTTGAGGAGGGTGTACGCATCAAGCCCGTGACGGTCGGTCAGTTGAAATCGTCCCCGCGCACGGCGCTTATATCAAGCTATCAATACTGATACCGGATGGCAGAGCTCGAGTTGGACGAGGAAGGAACCCGCATCTCCCTGACCATCGTCGATACCCCCGGATTCGGTGACCAGATTGACAACGAGGCTAGGCATGCACACACAGATACCCGACAGATGTTCATGGACTGACTTTTGGATAGTTTCGGCGAAATTGTCGGTTACCTTGAGCGCCAATACGATGATATTCTTGCAGAGGAGTCGCGAATTAAGCGTAACCCTCGATTCAGGGATAACCGAGTACACGTTCTGCTCTACTTCATCACACCCACCGGCCACGGTCTGCGTGAACTCGATATCGAATTGATGAAGCGCCTGTCTCCCCGTGTTAACGTCATTCCTGTCATTGGAAAGGCCGACTCGCTCACCCCCGCCGAATTGGCCGAGTCCAAGAAGCTGATCATGGAGGACATCGAACACTACCGTATTCCCGTCTACAACTTCCCCTACGACGTCGAGGAGGATGACGAGGACACTGTGGAGGAGAACGCCGAGCTCCGTGGACTGATGCCCTTCGCTATAGTCGGATCGGAAGACTTTGTTGAGATTGACAACCGGAAAGTGCGCGCGCGCCAGTACCCATGGGGTGTCGTTGAGGTTGAGAACCCTCGCCACTCAGACTTCCTGGCTGTCCGTAGCGCTCTGCTCCACAGCCACTTAGCTGATTTAAAGGAGATCACTCACGACTTCCTCTATGAGAACTACCGTACTGAGAAGCTCAGCAAGAGCGTCGATGGTGGCTCTGGGTATGTTTCTCCTTATACTAGAGATTTTATTATGATCAATCGGCTAACAAATGAACGAACAGTGGCTATGATTCTGCTATGAACCCCGAGGATCTTGCCTCCCAGTCTCACCGTCTCAAGGAAGAGCAGCTCCGCCGCGAGGAGGAGAAGCTCCGTGAGATTGAGATCAAGGTACAGCGTGAGATTGCCGAGAAGCGACAGGAGTTGTTGGCTCGCGAGAGCCAGCTCCGAGAGATCGAGGCTCGCATGCAGCGCGAGCAGCAAAGCCAGAACAATGCCAGCGAAGCAGCCAACGGAGAGGCCTAGATATACCCTGTCGACGATGCGGCTCATTCGACGGGGCGCCGGTTCGCAATGTGATACTCTACCAGCATGGACTTTTATGGCACCAACAAGTTGCTTTTGTTTATGGGATAATATTGACTGTTTATTCATGTTAATGGCTTTTTTCTTCTTTTCTTCTTACCTCTGCGGGGATGGGCAACCTCAACTAGATTACGGCACTCCAGTCACGAATTGTGGGCGCAATGCTTCTCATTTCCAATGGGAGTCTGAACTATGTCGAGTTGGGAATGGTTCTTACCAGTTCCTGGAAACCCTATGCTCGATATATCTCCTCGCGTTCAACGTGGTGACTGCCTCTTCTCTAGCACATGTTTTCCGCCGTGTCTAGGTCGTCCCATCTTTTTTTTCTTTTCATCACATCCCAGCCGCCACCGTGCCATGTTGCCGCATCATTTCTATTTCCTCCTCTTCTGCTTCCTCTCCTGTTCTTGTCCAAAGTCGCAGCGCAGCAATATTCCCTCTTCTCTTGTTTTTTTTTCGCGTTCGTGACTTCTTGTTCATTATCTATTTTTTCTCCTCGCCTGTCTTCCTACCCCGATAGTAATTGAGGAAGAAAAAGTATCTGGCTAGCTCGCTTGCTCTCAATTTTGTGTTCAGCTACTGTAGCCGGTCACTGCGTACTATCTGTAGCAGCATGCTTTAGTTTGTGAGATTACAGCTAAGCCGTCAAAGTATTTACATAGCTTGAAGATAGTATGTTGGGCTTGCTCGACCCTTCTGTAGCGAGAGGAGATGTCCAGTTTAGGGCTTCACTAGCAAGGCGGTTAAGTTCTGCATAATCATTTGAAGATCTGGTCATACCATGGACGGATTAATGTGAGCCAATCATAAAGCTCCCAACAACTAGCAAAGATATATATAGTTTAGAGGCTTGAAATTTCGTTGCTTCGTGTGGATTATTTTCATTATGACTAGGATGGGAAAATTGTAAAACGACTATGAAACAAGATCAAATATCCATGATTGGAATTAATCACATTATGGCACCAAGCTTAGGTCTACTGCAATTCTCCTCATCTGAAATGCAATAGTGCCATTCACATCAATGAGATTGTTAAGTATAACAGACAAAGATGCCTCAAACCCAAAACGATACAAGTAGAACGAAGATGTCTTAAAGAACATTTGGAAGGAAACAGAGAGAGCCATCGGGAGATAGAAAGAGCTAAAGAAGAAAGATAAAAAATTTTAAAAAGAAGAAAAAAAGGAGCCAATGCAATAGCAAGAACTGAAAAGAAAAGAAACGCAACAAAAAGCAAGAAAGCAGACACGCAAGAAGTGGTATTTGCGCTCCATTGTACATTGCGTAGAAAAGACGGGGAAACCCCCATTTGTTGTAATTGGTGTTGAGGAAAGGGAGAGATAGGTGTTTGCGAAGTAGATGTGGATGATCGGTCAGTTGCAGAGACAACACAGTAAATACAGCCACGGCTTTGCGAGTATGATGAGATGACACATGTAGTGAAGGACGGGTGTCATTGAGAACTTTCGGAAGATAAGTGCTTAATGCTCTGTGGAAAGAGATGCGGGCGACAACGTCAAAGCGGCGATGTCAAGCAGGGGTTGATTGTGGTATGTACCCGTTGAACATTAGGCGGCGGCTGGCTGCGGCTTGTTGGTCCAGAAATCTAAACTGGCAACAGTGTCATAGCCTCGGTCATCTTCATAGGCGTAGATAATCTACCAGAGTTAGTCAGCGCTTGATCAGTGAAAAAGAACTCCCAGAGAAAAACCCCGGGAAGAAAAACATGGAAGTAACATACCTCGCGGGTGGAACTGTGTAACATGCGAATGTTCTTGCCGGTCATAAGGTGTGTCAATTCACTTGTTTCAACGTGTCGAATTTCGACAAAGTTAGGTTCGAACGCTAGAATGTAAGGGTAGGACAGTGCGAATGCGTTCGGGTTGCCCTCCCAGGCGATCTTCCAGTCCGGACGGGCTCGCCACCCATTGCGGTTGACGAAGAATGAGAAATCACTGTAGTTGAGTAGGAACTCGCCATTCATACGCTCAATATGAATAGGTTTGACATTCTCCTTTCGTGCCACGAAGTCAAGCGACGTGTCGGCCTGGTCAAGGAGAGATTGGGTCTCTGTTGTTTCTAGACTGACCACCTCAAAGCCACGTGCACAACCAACACACAGAGTAGAACGCAGGAAGTGGATGGAAGAAGACTCAGCAGGGATATAGTATTCCTATGTGAAAGTGTTAGTGTGAAGTGAACCATGAACATGGAAGAGAGAAATACGAACCTTGAATGGCTTGAGAGTATCCTGACCACCCTGGAACATTTTGCTGACAGCAGACTTCTTCTTTCCCTTTGCCAGATTGTCCATCGGCTCGTAGACCTTGATTGTACTTGATAGCGCCGATGTTTTGACTGAACAAACAAGATGACGACCCAGACCAATGCCTGCCTTGAAAAAGTTCGCATGGCCCTGAATTTTCTTCGGCCGTTTTGCCATGCTGTTTTGGCCCTCGACATAATCGAGAGCGTCCATAGGATAAGAGGAAAGCGTTTTGTTTGCCAGAACCAATAGCAGCTGGTACTCTTCTAAAGTGTCTATTTGAGTGACTTGAGTAGCCTCTAGAACCTTTCTTGGTTTAGCTGTTTTGTCTTTAGGCCAGCGTTCAGAGACAAATATGCCATTATCAGTCCCGTAGACTAACTTCCGGCCTCCATCTGGTGGCAGTTAGTGAGTGACACTTGAGTTGAATTAGAACTTTTTTGACGTACCAATCGGAACGAGACAATTGATTCGGTTGACCGCTGCGAAAAAGCCCTCGCTCAGGATCGTCTTATTGTAGAAATTGCTGTTCCGTTCCCACAGTTTGTGTTGTTGCTGTTCTACCGCTTCGATAAACTTTCGTCGCGTGGCGACGTTTGTGGCATAGAGAGTCTGCTCGTAACCACCCTTACCGAGATGCCTGAAAGTGATAGGCAGTCCACCATCTTTGGCAGGAGGGGGATTGTTGATGACAGTCTTGTTTGACAGGAGACTGGATGAAGGTCTTTTGGCAATCCCCAGTCGTGGGATGACCTCTTCCATCTGAGCGATTACTAACAGTTCTAAAGGAATGGGCTTCCTATAAACTCGAGATTCCTCGCGTTTATTCACCATTTTGACGCGAACGAGCAGGACGGCATGATCAAAGAGATACGCAGTAACATCGGAGCTGTCGGCTGTGGTTTTCTTGAATGACATCTTCATGAGCATTTGTCGATTTTCTTCTGTGAGCTTCAAATCGACATAGTCCGCAGAGTTGAACTTCAGCGCAGCGTTCAATTGGACCAAATTGAAATGGTTCTCCGCTTTTCCACTTTCAGTATTGACGCGCGAAAGGAAGTCCTTGATCAGCTTGATGGCCTTCGGAATATCTTCTTTGTCGGGGTTGCCATCCGCACTGTTTTTGTAAACACCTTCAAGCAAAAGCGGGTATCTTGCAAGACGAGTTGTAGGCTTCGTCAAATAACCGTTCAGTTCCAGCTTCCGGGATTCCTTGAGACGTTCCGTCTCTTCGACAAATTTCGCAAAGGCTGGGTTCGATGATTTCTCCTTCTCAAACTCATACTTTCCGTAGAGTTGGTTGGCACCATATTTGATGAAAGGGTCGAAATTAGGGACATGTTGACAGAAGATGTCGCCAATGGTGTGAACGACCTGGCTCTCCTTTTGTCGAGCATTCAGGGCTTCACATAGAGCGCTGTTGACCTTGAGGACCTCTAAGCAGTTGCCAAACACGGTTCGAATAAACTTCTCACGCCGGTGTTCTGGAATTGGCGAGTGAGTGGTAGTTCCAGCAGCGCGCAATGGTCGCATCCAGAAATCCCGCAAATATTCTAAATCCTTGACGAAATCACGCTCGGTGTACATGAGCTCAAAGATAACCTCCTGCCTTTTCTTCTCGTGGTCATCAACCGAGTCCGAGACCTCCTTGGGCACCGTACTAATCCACAGCTTTTGGTTATCATTGTCGTCATCATCATCCGGGGGTAGAGCAGTCTTGGATTCCGATGTTCCCAGTACCGGCTGAGGTTTCAGATTCAACCTGGCTTGCTGCTCCAGTCGTCGCGGACAAGCAATAGAATAGCAGAGAGTGTCCCGGTTGCAAGTGGGAGAATAACATTCAGTCAGGAGAGTGAAAACTCCGTTAACCTCGATTGTCGACTTGTCTTCTCCCATTGTTTCCTTGAACTGATAGACCTCTCCGGGTGCGTCGCGAAGACGGTGGTCATATGTGACATCGTGGAAGAATTTCTGAGCATCCAGCGCACGGCCGAGCAAGAGAGCGAGGTTGCGATCATTGGTTCTGATGATAGAAGCTATCAAGTCCACCGAATCAGTACCTGAAAACGCATTTTGATACGAAAGGCCGTTCTTCTGTCGTTCGCCGAGTGAAATCTTCTCCCTGAAAATCTCAGCAACAAGAGACAGCAGAGCAGGATATACCACTGGAACCTTTCGCTGCGAATCCCTAGAAACAAGGGTAACCTTGCCGCCGGAGCCCTGTGTAGCTTGGCTTTGAACGCTCATTGTCCGATCGGGCGCAACAGTGGATGCCATAGACATAGTCCGAGATCTCTGCGATCCATCGCTTGGCTGACGAGATGCAACGAACTCATCGGGACTGGGCTGCATCGAGTCGTGCCTTATTGGAATCTGCTGATCGTGACTTGACGGAGGTCTGCGGTGTGGAATTGACCTTCCGCTGTTCATGATATGCGGATCCCGATCAGATGACCAGGAAGTCATAGACATAGCTCGTTCGTTCCCATGCTTTTCTGGGACAGGACGGCCGAGCTGCGTGACCTGAGCTCCAGCATGATACTGTTCACGACGAGAAGCAGTGGCAGACGTGTGATTGAAGTTGCTTGGCGGAATCTGGTAAGGCGGCCCGCTTAGTTTTGCCATTGATCTTGACCGGGATGAATCGGAATTCAGCGCGGGAGGAGGCATAGCACGATTGAAATCCCTAGAGTCTGGGTATTGCGGAGCAGGGCTCGGTCTTGACTCGAGGCGTTGAGGTCGAGGATAGGCAGCAAAGCGTTGTTGGGTGCTAGGGTTGTGTCGAGGAGGCTGATGTGAAGACATTGTTGCCGAGGCCCCTGGACTGTAAGCCTGATACAGCCCGGACGGCTGGGGTGGAGGATATCCATTTGGTGGTGCCGACGGCGGTCCGTGTCCATTTGGCATTTGCCGTGTTGGCGGCGGCGGCGGTCTCTGAAATTGGGGTTGTGCGACATGCGATGACATGGTGTGAGCGCGACCCTGGGCGAATTGCGGAGTCTGTGAATTCATTGTATGGGACCGTCCTGCAGGCGGTGCGCCTCCAAATATGTCAGAATACGCTGCATCCCGCTGCGTAGACGAGGCGGGTCCGTGAGGCCGGTAATTCCGGCTACGCTGGCCCCCCAAATCCGCCATTTTCGCGAGATATCAGCGATCAAGGATGAGTGGCGGTTGTTTAATCGGATATGCAAGGTATATCTATGCCGGGGTGCGAAGAAGGCGAAAGGGGTATCCGGGTTGATCGTGGAGAGCGTTCAGGGCGTCGCAATAGGTCTGTTCAAGATCGTAGACCACGGGAGAAACGATAGAGGTGGAACGGGAGAGAAAATTTCCGTAGGCAATGACCTCGAAAGAAATAATAGATTGTCTCAAAGCACTGATGGGACTCAATATTCCATAACTCCCCTCAGTTCGGATGGGGAATTTAAAGGCGATATCAAAGCGGTACTAATGGAAAAGCGCCAGGAGCCGTGAGCGCAACTAAGTCAGGGCTCCTTTCGATTTCATGCCCTCAGCATCCTCCGAGATTTGAGGTCAGGAGTGAGAGTAGAGGAGTTGTTGAAGGTGGGGGTGATAATTGGATGTTGAAAATGCAGTAATAAACTGGGGGAGGGGGGGAGGGACCCAGGAGAACGAGGATGGCGAAGGTGACGGCGAGGCCGGTATGGTAATTTCAGTACACAGACTCCTAATCTGCCGTTCATAGGGCTTGTAGGAGTGACATCTGAAATACAGTGGGTATGGTATCGTCACCGCCCAGGACCAGACAATGGCGTGGACTACGGCGGGCGAAGTGGCCATGTGGAACACCCAAAACCCCGACACCTCCAGCCGTCAACAGCCCGAACTTCTCCCTGCGCTTTATCTTGTATCAAACAGGTCCCATTTTCTTCTTATATTTCTCCCGTGTGATTTGCAAGATTAGTCTTGCTCCACCATCACTATGGCAGACAGTGAGCTTGCGCCCAAGTTTGCTCCGTTCTTCTCCTTCGTGAGTTCAAGGTTCCGCGACCACTGGGGTTCATAGACTAACAGGCTTCCTATACCAGGCAGGCATTGCCGCTGCAGTGGGTTCATTCCAACCTGGTTCTGACTAGACAATACACTAACAGTTCCCTATAGATGATCTTCGGTTGTACGTGAAATACCTCTCATGGATGGAGCTAGCTCTCCAAGGATATAACGATGAAGGCATTGGCAGTCGCTGGGGCGGTTAAGAACCTCCTTAAGGACGTCACGGAAGTCCTTACACTTATAATGGATGTCATTTTCATCGCTAGAGAAATCGTGGTACCGTGAGAGGCCACAGTGGGCTATGAACCTGGTACAATGGTTCTTATCGGCGCAGTGGTTCCCATGGGGCCTGTTGCAACCCTTAAGGGGCCTCTTACGGTACTGCGATATCTCTGGCGATGACAATGACATCATTTATAAGTGTAAGGACTTCCTTGACGTCCTTAAGGGGGTTCTTAAACGCGCCGGCGACTGCCAATGCCTTCAGTTATATCTATGTTCTAGGTATTTGGACAAACAGCTTACAATCTCACAGCGGCAGGAGCAGCTTATGGCACAGCGAAGTCTGGCATTGGAATTGCAGGTGTGGGAACCTATAGGGCCGATCTCATCATGAAGGTAAGAACCGTTTATCTAGGTTCCGTGATGGACAGGACGGTAGCTAACTGAGTTCATGACTGCAGTCCCTCATTCCCGTTGTTATGTCCGGTATCATTGCAGTTTACGGTCTCGTTATCGCCGTCCTTATCGCTGGAGCAATGGGACCAGGAAGCAATGAGAGCTTGTATACGTACGTTTCGAAAGTTGGGTGGATGTGGAGCTTGGCACAAGCTAATGATGCACAGAGGCTTCATGCATCTTGCCGCTGGGATGTCAGTTGGTCTTACGGGTGTGGCGGCTGGTTATACAATTGGAGTTGTGGGCGATGCAGTAAGGACCTTATATGTGTGGTAACGTGAGAGGACTATTGAGCCTTAACAACTACTCTAGGGTGTTCGAGCATACATGCAGCAGTCTCGGGTCTACGTGGGAATGATTCTCATACTGATTTTCGGCGAAGTTCTTGGGCTTTATGGGTATGTTTCTGAGTCGGGGTTTTTTCAGATTACCTTTACTAACATGGTCAGCTTGATTGTTGGTTTGATCCTAAACTCGAAGTCTTGAGCGCTGGGCAATTTCATACGCCAACTCATTCAACAACACTTTTTCGTCTGCTACCGGTCATCCTGGGCTCGAACAGACACCATTTTTGATAGATGTGTACCAACAACGTAACCAGGACAGATAATGGCCATGGAACTGGATCGAGATATGGACCGACTGGTTTCTGAATCGAATACATTCTTATTTCCGGTGTACAATAAAAGGATCTTATATAGATTCGGGTCAAATCAAAGCTAAGAGCTTACTCAGTCCGGTTTATCACCGTAGTTTTTTCCCGTCCAGCCCCGCCTCCCATAGCAAATACGTCAGAGAACTTCCATTCTTACAACTCTTTGCCCCGCGATTTTTCCGAAACCCTAGATTCTTTCAAACCTTCGAACCTCAATGTTCTTTATGATCTGAAACCCGGAATCGAGCTGTGTTGCCGATTGGTGGCGCGCTAACGGGGTCTCCATACACGTTTTTTTCCCTTTTACCACGACATGATCTTTGACCATTCTAATGGCAACCGGAGCAGTGCAACATTCGCCTAATGAGGCGCCAGGAACCATGGTATTTCCCAAGGTAAATGGAAACCTGCATCACAGGGACAAGCAACTCGTCGAGTCTTTCCGTCCTCCTCCGCGATCCTCGAACCCATTTCTCATCACCGAGCGCCAGGACGAGAAGCAACTGTGCATCTCGTCAAGGAGTCTGCGCGTGAGCGATTTTGTGCTCGTCAAGACTCTTGGAACTGGTTAGCGCGTGGCCGAACCCATATTTCTCTTACAGGAGTCGCATCTGACGGTTCATGCTTTTCTCATTGTATAGGCACTTTCGCTCGGGTGTGGCTCGCAAGGTTAAAAGACCAAAAGGACAAGAGCAAAGTCTATGCGTTGAAAATTCTTCGAAAGGCGGACGGTAAGCGCCACTTTGTCTAACGTTGCGCGTGGCGAGGGATAACTTGTGCTGATTGCGACTGGAAAGTGATCAAACTCAAGCAAGTGGAACATGTGCGCAACGAGCGGAAGGCCCTCGCAGCGGTTATTGACCACCCTTTCATCACCACCTTGATTGCATCATTCTCGGATGAGAAATGCCTCTATATGCTGGTATGGCAACTTGTTTTTTGGAATACGAAATATGTCTTGATTGATCACAGGATGCTGACGAATTGTCAGCTGGACTATTGTCCTGGAGGTGAAATATTCACATATCTACGACGACAACGACGCTTTAGCGAAGAAGTCTCGACATTCTATGCCGCCGAAATAACAATGACAATCGAGTTCTTGCACGATGTCCATGGAATTGCCTACCGAGATCTCAAACCGGAGAATATCCTGTTGGATGCCGATGGTCACCTCAAGCTTGTTGACTTCGGGTTTGCGAAGCAAGTCGATAATCGCGAGACATACACATTATGTGGCACACCGGAATACCTAGCTCCGGAGGTCATTCAGAACAGCGGCCATGGACTTGCAGTGGACTGGTGGGCTCTTGGAATCTTGATCTACGAATTCTTGGTCGGACAGCCTCCTTTCTGGGACCAGAACCCTATGCGCATCTACGAGCAGATCATCGAAGGTCGTCTACGCTTCCCACCGAATATGCCACCTGCAGCTCAGAACATCATCTCCCTACTCTGTAAAACAAACCCGTCGGAGCGACTGGGCCACATCTCTGGTGGCTCGACTCGAGTCAAGTCCCATCCGTTCTTTCAAGGCATCACCTGGGATGATTTGTTTTATCGCCGGGTGAAAGGACCTATACTTCCCCGCCTATCCCACCCCGCGGACACGGGTAACTTTGAAGAATATCCGGATCCCCCCGACCTCAGAAACACGAACATTTACACGGAGGATCTGAAGAAGAAGTATGAGGTATTATTCAGTGACTTCTGAAAGACTTGTTTCCAATTACGGCCTATCAAGCTCGCACCCAACCTTCAATTTTCCGGCATTCTCAAATGACGGCCATTTCTCTATAACCCCCACGGGACCCCCACGGCACGCGTCCCGAATGCTTCTCCGCCCAGAGGCCGCACTCACGAATGATCGCGATCATTCGCGCCAATCTCACCTTTCGCTTTCAGATACGATCCCATGACAGTTCTTGGTATGTATGTCTGTGGCGAATCTCTCGGAGAATATCACACCCCTCGCCATGCTATTCAACCGGTCTCACCGCCACCATTTGACCTTCCCTTCCCACATATCCACACCCGTGGACAACGATATGAAGACCATCCCGGGTAGTATTTTTTTTTCTTTTTTACTTCTTTTTTTTCATATACACTTCCCTTTCGCAAAAACCTTGTTTTGATTGATCATGGAGATTGATTAACTGGAATCTATCAAAACTACAGCAACCTCGCAAGGTCTCTAAGCGCAATCTTGTGAATGGGGAATGTGTTAATGCTATTTTTTTTACTCTCTTTTCTTCGTAAAGTGATCAACGTGCATAGTCATGGGTTGTAGATCACGATGGTACATAGGTGGTTGCTTTTTATACTTAGGGTTTTCAGTATCGTCCACTCAAGATAATGCTTGGTGCATCTGCATGTAGTTATTTCATCCGGAATATATATGGTCTCATTCCGCAAATTCCGTGTCATATTACAATCATTCAATAGATCATGCCTCTTGCGATTTGGCCAGAAGATACAAGCATACAGGAAGGGAGAAAACCCTATATACTAGTTTGGGGTGCGTAGGATTGACGTACCTAGTTATATGATCATCAGCAATTGTCTTAGTGGGAGCTACAAAGCACCTTTTATTGTCTTTGGTTTATTAAAGTTTATCTCCTTGTTCAGATGGATTTGAGTGTAGTAGAAATACATAGATCCTCCACCCTGATGTGGTGGGCCTTCGAGCATACAGAAAACCACAATTTATCTAGCCCACAGATGATGGAATTCAACCTTTGATATATTATATAGTATGTACTAAATTCACCCCAATAGATTCTTCCTAGGTTGCTTTGCACAAGCGGCCATTCTTACTCTCGGTCCACTCGTCAGACCCGACAGCGGTTCTGGCGTAGAAGATATTGTTCGGATCATATTTAGCCTTGATCTTGCGCAAGGTATCATAATTGGTACCATAGAAGACCTTCTTGAAGTTAGGCTGTTGGAAGTCACCCTGCCAAAATGGTAAGCATGCGTACACAATAATGAAGGGAATCATAGCTAAATATCAGTTTACATACCTCATTCATATAAGCACCGGACTTGGGAGAAAGCGCAGTCAGCTTCGGAATGAAATCCTCGGTCATTTGGCGCTGGCGCTCCAACATGAGAGCAGAGTTGTCCCACTCCCACGGGGTCGTCAAAGTAGTATCAATCAAGGCTTCGCGCCAAGCAGGAGGACCGCGTTGTGGACGTCTCCAGATACCTTGTGGGAGACGTTCAAGCCGACGCCGATGAAAGTGCCGCCCGCTTCGGTGATCTCACGGTAGGCAGTCAACAGGGCGTGATTGTTGTTCTGAACGACCGATCTCGGAACCAGCCAGCCGCCATATTGGGCCGTGCCAACCTCAATGGTGCCTTGCATGTCCTTGAACTGGCTGTAGTAGCTGTCGTATTGCTTGGAAACCATGGTGTACTCGATGCCGAGTTTGTCGAGGCTGTTGGTGAAAGGCTTGAGCAGCGTCACCAAGTCAGCGACAGGGATGTTGGGACCGGTGATCGGAGCAATAGAGAAGCTGGTGTTGGTGAAGTACCAGACGCTCATAGCACCTGCGTCGACGATAGCGGGCAGGGCGGCGTGGAAGGTCTCGATGCTATTGAAGAAGGTGTCTTGCGAGATCCCGTCATTCGTGTAAGTCAGGTTCAGGCCAGAGACGGGGGTTCCCGGGTGTGCCTTAGAGGTCATGGACCAGACGATACCGTAAGTGCCAGCACCACCGCCGCTGAGAGCCCAGAAGATGTCGGAGTGCTCATTGTCGCGGGTAGCCGTGATGAAGTTGCCTTGGCCGTCAATGACCTCCCATTTCAGGACTTGATCGGCGGCCAGGCCATAGCGGGAGCCCAGTGCGGAGTGACCGCCTCCTTGGGTGTAGCCACCGGCAAGACCAACGGTGGGACATTCGCCGCCGACGACCTGGTAACCAGTCTCCTCGGCGATCTCGTAGGCTTCTTGGCCTTGGATTCCAGCGCCCATGGTAATGGCCTTTCCGGAGTAGTGCTTGTCATGGTAGGAGTCGATTGACAGATCCTTCAGGTGGTGAGTCCAGATTGCAAGCGCTCCAGCGCCAGTGGATCGGCCATTGTAGTCGTGGCCGGTGTTACGGATGACAAGACGGATGTTGTGCTTCGTTGCGAATTTCACAGCGTTGGAAATGTGAGCCGGGCTGGTGACATTCACGCTGTAGCGCACATAGTTACCCAGGGTGCAGGGCTTTGAGACGGGGTGGAACGGATCGCAAGCACCCTCGGCAAAGAACGGCGCCATAACCGAGGAAGATGATTCATAGCTGTCAGAAACATAAGTCAGTACTGGCCCTTTCGTGTTATTCTATATGCAGAGTCACATACTGCTCCTCGGGAAGTAGCCACCCATCCTTCAAGACTGCACAGGTTTCGGAATTGTAGTTCGGCGCATGGCAAGGTGTGCCGAGAGGGACGGTCTTGACTAGTCGGCCATCGACGGTCTTGTTCAATTGAGACCATTGATCCTCGGTGGGCCAGCAAGCATCACCGGGAAAGCAACGGCATGCCGAGGCTGAAGCCTGAGGCAGAACTGCCAACAGCGAAGCAATGAGGGATACGCGGAAAAACATAACGGATTGACTTCATGCAAGTGTACCAGCTTGTGTTAAAACGTTCCGGTCTTACGCGCGGAAAAGCTAACAACCAGAGACGGTTCGCTTAGAATATAGAAAATGCCGCGGTATCGCAATATATCTTGAAGCTAATAATCCACCACGCCATCCCTGCCAGCCTTGGGAAGCAATATCGGAATGCAGATCGGAGGGGCCAAAACCAGCCACCCATGGAAAAGCCTGCCGTTTCCCCCACCACCCAGTCTTGGAATCTTGGAAGCCAGGAGCACTACTGTACGTAAACAAACTTTAACACAAGCCACCCCAAGCGGGTTCTTAGGGTTAGAACATATGGTCCGAGTAATTGCATACAATTCAGGGGCAGATCTCACCTTTCTTTTAGCTAGATCTGGCTTTCTGCTCCCTCCTTGAACACCACTCGAGGTGTTCTAGATTATATATATTTTTTCTAGATGGCACAGGTCTAGAATGTATAATGCAAAACCGTGTTATAATGGTTTGCTCATAGCTAACTAAGCCAAGACCGAAAAAAAAACAGAAAATTCTTCTTATTGGCAAATTCTAATTCATATCCTCTCGTTTCCACGCTCGTGAAGCTAGCGCTGCATCTTAATTGCGCCGATATAAGCCCCCCGCCGCCCCGCCGCCCCGCCGCCCCACCTGAATCAAGAAATCTTGTACGTTGTACTGCGAAATACCCGTGGACTCCGTCACAATTATGAATAATATGATATCTCCTTTGCAGAGGCTATCAGCTCTCCTTGCCGTGACAATGATCAAGTCATGGGCTGGGTATACAACCTCCACGAGACCGATCCAAACAGCGAGATTCCGCGCGTGATCGGGACCTGCTTGGCGTGCTCAATTACAGCTTTCCTAGCCGTATGTCTGCGGTTTTATGTGCGAATACGCATCAGTCGTTTTCCATGGATTGACGACTATGCGGCACTGGCGGGCTCACTGTTGACGTTGGCATACGCAGGTATCGCCGTGGCTCGTGAGTCGATTCTCATTGATTAGCGAAGGTTAACTGCCGAACTGACGAAATGGCTATTTCAGAGACGCGATGGGGCCAAGGACTCAGCGCGGCGTATTTTCCAAAGGAGAATGTTATTCCATTTAGCAGGGTACGCATCGCAAGGCCAACATTGTTCGAACTCGAGCCCGACGCTAACTTTGTTTGGTCTATAGATCCAATACGCTGGCGGCCCGACCTATTGTCTCGCTGTCCTCGGCTTCAAAGTCGCCTTGTTGGCTTCCTATCTGCGCATCGCGGGGATTATAGAGCGATATCGTAAAATCATAATTGCCACTATTGTCGTGTGTGTCGTTAACCAATTGATTTTCGCCTTTATCATATCAATCTCCTGCATACCGGTTAGCAGCTCCCCAACATTGCGCGCCACTCACAGGAAACGGGTTATCTGACAACAAACAGGTCGCAAAACAATGGGATACTTCTCTCAAGGGGCATTGCATCCAAACAATACCGTTCTACTTTGCCCTCGGGGGCACGAGTATCGTGCTGGACCTGATAATCATAGCACTACCTCTGCCAGTCCTTTGGAAACTCCAGCTCCACCTCAAGCAAAAAGTCCTCCTAGCCTGCCTGTTTGCTCTCGGCTTCTTTGTGACCGTGATCCAGATCATCCGCATCCTCACCGTCTGGGACTTGAAGACCTACACCGACAGCAAGAATATCGTGATCTGGTCTTGTGTCGAGAACAGCCTGGGCGTGAGTTGATTTTTGCTATTTCTGCAAGTCCAAGAAAAACTAACAAAACGAAAACGTGTAGGTTATCATCGCCTGCATTCCCACGTACGGACCTCTGTTCAAGTCCTTCGCTTCCACTGTTAATTCATACCGAAATCGCGAAACTTCACGGACTTATGCGCTTAGCTCTGTTCGCCAGGACACGGGGACGGGGCCTGGGCGTGGAAATAGCAATTTCGAGCCTATATATGAGTCCGAGGGCCGGCAGATCACTGAGATTCGATCCGGCGCGCAAACGAATGATGGGGATAGCGAGGAGCATATATTATCAGAGGCAGAGAACTTAAAAGTATATGTAACTTCAGAGTTTACTGTTAAGTCTGGCGCAGTTTGATTCTGGTTGGTAATAGGGAACTTGGAAATTGTGCTTTGAATGGAAAATAGGAGTACATATGCCCGATACCAAATACGTGTTATCTAGTACTCGGATTAGACATGCACTGTTGCAACTTAGTCGTATGTAAGAAGCCCTAGTTATAGGCTCACATAATGGATATCGGACGAGACAATGACAGATCAAGATTGCCATTCATAGGCAATAAAAAATTCTCGAAAAGTTGCCTTTTGGCTATCACAACAATGAGATTGGAATCTATAAGCAGCTAGTATAGCTAGTAGTAGCAAACCATTTACCGAGAAAAAAAAAAGCAAAATAACAGTGTAAATAACAATGAAAAACAAAGTTGGGGAATCATATGAACAGATATCATGAAACATGGAACGGGTTTAGAGCTTGTGCCTGGGTTCGGTCATATCCAAGGCACCGATGATGACAGTTCGATGCCGATTTGAGAGTTTTGTGACGGGAGTAGAAACAACCAGGAAATCTAGAGGGGAGGCGTGGATGATTAAATCGGAGCAAATATTGAGATGAACTGCGAGCAAGGGCCTGCGATAGGTCTCCGATACTATACAGTGTACAGTGTTGGAATGGAATAGAATAAGCTTTGGGCATTTTTCATAGCGATGGGTCTGTCTTCCATGTGCCTGAAATATGTTAGTACTATTTCCACGTGAAACTACACGAACGTGTCAAAGATAAAGACGTACCTCCGAAATTGTGCTTCACAAAAGCCATGGGATCATCTGTATCCCCCGCACCCATTTGCCCCACTCCAGGGCTGAAGCTGGTAATGGGGAGAACAACCACATCCCCAACCTTGCGGTGCGTGGTCTGATGGCTGAAGTCTTCGTAGGTGATGTTCTTATCACCAGGCTGGATATTGAAGTATGCCGGGTTGTTGAAGTAGCGGAAGATAGAATCCGTCCAGGCTCCAGGCCCTGTGAACTCCATAATAGTCTTATCCATCTTGCCAACTTTGAGGATGCCTGCCTTTTTCATTCGCAGAGCATGCTCGGTAATATAAGCCACCATATCACGAAGAATCGGATGCCCGGGTTTAGACACAAAGGTCCACTGGCAGAACTGAAGACGGCGCGAATACCAGTCATGCCAGTCATCACGGTCAGGATCAGCTTCGATGCCAACAATGAAGCCGATAGTTGATCGATCGAGTTCCTCGGGGAGCCACGTGTGCGCGGGCTTGAGCGCCGAAGTGTCAATATCGCTGTATATCCCCCCGCGCGCTAGAAGGACCAAGTATCGGAAGAAATCCGCCTTCATGACACCGAGTGGCAGCGAATCATATGCCTCAAATACCTCCGGGACTGATCCATATAGATATTTGATCAGATGTTGTTGTGTGTCATCAGGAATGACTTCATGCGTGAACCCGGGGTGCATCTCTGTCCAGCTGGCCTCGGGGCCGCGAAGGTCTTCGTCAAACCAGAACGATCCCGGGCTGTATTTCCATGTTTGCCAGATGTATGCGGGGAATCTGTTTTCGATTTCATAGGGGAATTGATACCGGAGACGTTCGCGAAGGGGTGCTGTCCGTGATGCGCCGAGGGGTAATTGGGCGCGACCTTGCGGTGGTATTTTTCGTGCTAAGTTTGCTATCGCCTCATCCTCTTCCTGCGATATCTTCTTCACCGGTCTATACCCAGGTGCCCCGGGAACTTCAGGATCTCGGAACGAGCGGAGGATGAGAACAAAGGTGACCACGCAGAATAGGGCAAGCAGCACCTTGCGCGGGGTAATCATGACAGGCGATGGAGCCGGCGCAGTCGGGAAATAATTCCCTGGTCTTGCGACAGCCGTAAATTGGCTGAAAGATAGGAATCAAGTCAAGGCCTCTGTGCTTTTGTCTTCTGTGATCCGCGGGATTGGTGAATTTGAATATTCTTGTTATGCGTTTCCTTCGGCGGGTGTGACAGTCGAGCGATTCCAAATCCTAGGCTAAAGAAATTGAGAGGGTGACATATCGATATGCGGAAGTCTTGGATGTGACCTCGATGGTCGGAGATACGGTCAACCCAAAATCGGGATAGGAGGCGTGAGAAAACCAATAATAATTGAGGGTGACTAGTACCGCAGAACGGCAAGGATAAATTGAATCGAGAAGCAGGCCACGCTGTCTGGCAGCGCGTAATTTTTCGCCTTGTTGGCTAATTTTATTAGACGTCCACGAGTAGAATAAGGATTGCGTATGCCGGAAGCAGCTTGTAGCCTGAGTGGAGCCGCTCACGTGGTCTTAGAAATGTAACTTCAAACCTACGGAGTACCGTCTTTGATATTGTTCGTTCTTCATTTATTCTTTGTTCTGTCTTTTGCAATGTTTTTTTTGCATATCTTTACGCTATAAAACAAGCAATGATCCTACTACATAATCACTTGGTTTTGTTAGAGTGCCCCCACATGAGGTGCTCGATCCGGAATGATGATGCTCCGCATAAAACTACAATGCTAAAATTGTCTAACCTCGTATCTAGTTTACTTTTAGGTGGTTAACAAGTAATAAATGACTATATAGGAAAGGCCATATATTACCGTTACGAGAATACTTGTTCTTTTAATAGGAGACTTTTGTCATGTTGTCTCCATTAGTCCTAGATGTAGATAGCTTCTCTTTTCCTCTTTACGCAATCCGATATCTTCCAGGGCATCTACATTCTTCGCATAGTACTCTCGTCTGTATCATCAACAGAAATACCAACTATATAGAATATTAGAGATGCCGGTGAGAGGCTTGCCGGCCGATACCTTCTCGTTGAACTTTAGATATTTATCCTCATTAGCAATGGAGTACGACCCAAGGTATCTCTCCAGTGAATAATAATCTTGGCCCCTACAAAAGTTATATTCTATATCATAGAATATAGGGATCATCGGAAAATTTATCTTATCTTCAGAGAAAAGAATTAACTTGTGATTGCGGCAAAAAAAGTCCATCTTACAGGTAGCCATATTTGTGAACAGAAGTATACTTACTTGTTGGACACCATTCTTCCTTCGTCTTACCACTAGAAACGGTGTTTAAGTAGCATTAGTTTTCTTTCTCTCTGTGGTAAGTTCGAACGATCGAATTTTAGATTCTCCCTTCGTATATAATGACCTTTGTGGTAGAGATAACCTTTTAACACTATTAAGAGGACTTACTGCAATTTATCCCTAAAAGAATAAATCTGGTGTCAAAGTATTTACTCTTAACCTTAAGGAGTGATTTTTTGTTGCAAGATAACGTGGTTTCATGATAAATAAGACTAATACGCGAACGCAAAGTGAGAGCAAAGTAAAAGTAAAAGTGAAAGTGAAAGCAAATTAAGACAAGGGCAACCCAAAAGGAACATCATCCCCGACGCATGAGGGCACACAGATTGAGGACCACCTGTTTCCTATTGGATTCACTGCTAAGGTCGTACCAGGGAGTGGCCACCACAGGAATGAATGAGCTTGGCAAGTCCAAACCAAAATCCTCAATATACTCATCACTAATCTCAAATTGGAGAAAGCAAAGGTAGTGCTGCGTAGCATGGATGACTATGACGGTCTCACGGGTCTGATCGAAACCAACAACCCTAGCCAGCAGAGCCTCGCATGTCATCTGGGCTAGACACTTGTCTGAGATGATCGGTTTACCCTCTTCAAGACATTGGAATTTCCTCTTGGCTTCCAAAATTGCCACATGATCGTTTTGAAGTATAAATTTGTTGTCTTTAGCCTCTATGCGTATGCAAAGGCCCCCGTCATCGATGGCAGTGATCTTATTTCCTCCTAGAACTGCGCGGGTTCGCAACTTGACGTCCCGAAACTCAACAACACTCGACATATCGGGCTGCTCTTGAGGTGCTCCGAAATACAGAACATGTCGAATAACGCATGATGCAAGGCGCAAGGTCTCATCTTCGACCGTAGCTTAGAGTTGGTGTTATTTTTTTTCAATGTATCCAGCTGACGACGCATCGCTAGAGCTCGGAGGCCGGGGACTGCTAGAATCAATGTGTATTGTCCTAGAGGGGACGAACACAGAATGGGCGATTGGTTTGGATGATCCTTCACGCGCTCCTCTCGCCCTAGTGATGCGGCCACCGTCGAATTCAGTATCCATTGGAACATCAGAATCCGTGTCATGAGAATCCGCGTCATCAGAATCCGCGTCATGAGAATCCGTGTCGGAATGTTCAGAATTGCTGGGGACAATTGCATAGCTTGTCCTGTCAGCGTCACGGTCGCCCTCGAATGCTCCCAATGCCGACCACGTTTGAGCGAGCGAAATGTTATACCCAAAATCTCGCACAAGACTGTGCTCGCTTCTCTGGAAATGCATATTGCTATCAGGGCCCTTCAGAAACTTCGCAATCTCAGCCGAGGACGTAGTGTCGGAAGATTTGGAGTATTTGGACAGAATTGGAAGAATGTTGGGCCTTTGTGGTCGTATTATAACACGACAGGCAAGCAGATGGTCCCGTCCCCATCCACTCGCGGCAGACATTTTTAGTTCGGAAGTATGTTTCAGATTTCTTCCTTTGAACTGACTGACAGATGCGAAAGTGTCAAAATAATGGGAAGACATGTTGAAGATCAAATTTGAAAAGGAGAGAGGATTTGTGATGATAAGAATGCGCGATCAAATTTGAAAAGGAGAGAGGATCTGTGATGATAAGAATGCACTCGGGCAGGCAACGTCTTTTTATACCACATCTTCTGCAAATGTTTGCCTAGCCACCACATTACCATGAAACAATGTTGGTGATGTATGCCTGCATAACCGCCGGACTCCTTATTTTGAAACTGCTGGCTTGGAGTACAACTGCGGAGGTCCAATGCTGGTTTGTTGGGTTGGTATTAATAGGCACGTAACTAGCCAACCATATACATGTATCCCTACCACATGTATTATTCCTGGCCAAAGGCTCGTGAAATCCTTTATTAGAAACACGAGCTAGTTCAGCTGGCCCCTGACAGCTCCCAAAGTCTGAGAGTGGCATCATGCTTTCCCTAAGCGCCGAGCCCCCTCATACCGGACAGTGACAGTTGATCACACCTATCCTCGCCAAAGGCCAGGAACATCTAGCTAGTCATACATTTAGCGCTGTTAGGTCAGAAGACGCCTTTAGGACCCAATTTCAGCCCAATGTAAAGGGTGTTCATGGACCATTGCTATTGATAAATTGGGAAATACGGATGCGAAGTAAAAATCGTTAAATTATTTGCGCTTTGGACAATCCACTGGAAATACCAAATTAGCTGTATCTCCCCCTCAGATCTGGATTTTGCTATATATGGACGGGGTAGACGGGTAAGCTTTATTCCGGATTAACACTCAAAGGCGGTCAAGACGCGCTTTAGACTCCTCTGTATTCCCAGTTCCTCAACCTCATCTTTACAAGTATCTTCAGTATGACAGCTGGTGCAATTTCACTTGCTGAGCTCATGAGCCATCATCGTGATCTCTTAGTTCAACCAATATGCTGGACTTCTCGTCATTTGGATATGCTGGGATGTCGGTTTGAACACCTTGACCATGTGCCAACAGGCGACATCGACCCTAATTCGGATATATGCCAACCAATCGATCATGAACAGAAGCTGGAAGAATGGAGGCCACAAACTCGCGAGGAAATTTTTATTAGCTCCGGCAATCCGTCGATGCGGGAGGGCATTATCGAATATCTCATATGGCCCTTGCTTAACCGAACAGGGTGAGCAATAAAAGCCGTTCCCGTCAATAGGTTGATTCATTCCGCCATAACTAATCATTGTTCATAGTGAAACGCCGTATTTTTTTTTCGCGAATAAGAGGATTCATCGGCCCCTGTATCAAGTGTTCTATCGCTGCCGTACAATCAGCCAGCCAGCTAGCCAAGTACCGCGGCCAATCATTGGATATTTGGACTATTGCCGCGTTGAACGTTATCGCCGTGAAATGTTTACCCCTCGTACGCCTAAAGGTGGCGGTGGTAACCGGCCCGGGTGGAGAATTCAGCTGAAACGAGTAGCCCAGATCACACCAAAGAACTGGAGCGAGGATCCGTATCTGCTGTGTGTTCTGTTGTCCCTTGCACAGCTCCAGGAGTACCATCGCAAAGAGTGGCACCCGCCCATTCACATAGTAAGTACTCTGCTCATCACCCCCGCCGCTTTTGTTCTTTGGACGCCTAGCTCATTTATAAAAGTCGCGTCTGATTTTGACAACCAAGCCGGACGATAAATTCTTCCATGTTTTTGAAGCTCATATAACTTTTGAGCTTCTCGGAATGCTCGACAACCCAAATACTGCCACAAAGCGCATAGACTGGCCGACCATCAAACACAAAAAGGTCCTATTTAAACCTCTTGAGAGTCTCGCAGAGCGACTTCAAGCTGAGATCGCTCTTAACCAGCCACCTGGCACATTCGATATTTCAGATCCAGCTAATCCAAATGACATCGACAAGGACGAAGAGGATGTAATCCACATCCAAAGAACAAAAGAGGTCGAAAGGAAGACCAGAAAGAGAGCAAAAAAAGAATCATTCGTCCGTTCCGAGACAAGAGTTTCATGAAAATGCTTAAACAAGGATTACGACAATTACGCCCTGGTTGGTCTGCGAGGTCGGCTATTAGACCACACTACACCACAAACGACTTCAAATTCCCATCATCAAATGACGCCATGCCTGTTATTCTACATTTCCTTTTTGCGACCTGAAATTTACTCCCATGACAAGCCTTACATATCACGGAAACGGAATGTCTGACCGTACTCGGACGCCTGGAGGCCAGATGGTGGGTAAAGGATAAAGGGCACAAAATGGATTTGGTTTCTCTCTATTTCCCAATCGGTTCGCTCAACCTACGAAATGAATTACGATGATATAAACTCACAGTGGAAAGATTATGTCCTTGGATATGTCGAAGCGATACACAAACAGCATGGTCATTGATACCAAGCCAGCCAAGTGCTGTGTTCAAATACCAGAGAAAATACATCACAAGCAACATGAATACTGTTGAAGCATTGAGTTTACTAAAGGCTATCAATTGGTCTTAGTTATATTCTTTCCTAACACTTAAAATCATGCGTAAAAATTCAAATTCCCAACCATAACAGCATAGAATTTCCGAGTGAGCATACGGTTATCACTTCACGGCAACTACACCTCTGGCTGTCAACCATCAACTATATATCTTGTCCGACATTCATATCTCATTCTTCTGATCAGAAAAATCCGTTTTTCCCACGTAAACTAAATAACTTATGATATAGACAAAGCCGTTTGGGTAGCGAATCAAGGCCGTCGGCTGTTGTGGAACATGATCCACACTGCCATGTGGGACTAATCAGCCGCAAAAGCTTGGTAGATAAGCGTAGCAGACCTCGGGAAAGAATAAACTTGATTCAGCAGCTTTATAAACATCAAGACTAGTATGTTATATAAGAATCCGCTTTGGAAGTCTCGTTAGGTAGACGCAACGGACTGTGAGTCAGCAACATGGATGCTATCCAGTTCAACTAGCAATGCTCTTTTTTTGATTCAAGCTTTATTATTCATCTCAATTCTTCTATAACTCGATGATAGAAACCCAGCTTTCCGAAACCACCGTATGCCCCGTACAGATAAGCCATCACCTGGTCCCTCTCGCTGCCGAGGCAAGCCGAGAGCAGGTGAGACTGATCTTACCATTTCAAGATACTCTCCTCGCTGGCGCCACCTTTCTCGTAGTCTCTCATCTAACGGCTACCCATCTTGGTCGTATTTCCCAGGTAAGTCGAAAGAGGCAGGTATGGCAGCGAGGAAGCTGGGGAACGAAATAAGTTCGTAGAGAGCCGTAAATGCGCCTTCCGAGTCGATGATTCCCGTTATATCGAAGCTGTTTTCATCTACCATGGTCCATGATCTTACTATAAAGAAAGTCATCATGGACTAGAGGGAATGGCCCTTCGTTGCACATAGATAGCCGGCTAGCTATCGCTTTGATCTGCGATAGGAAATTCTCGATAATCGTAATCATCTATTTCGCTGAGATCGGTCCTCTCTGTATCATATATGTAATCGTTTCTTTATCCCACTTAACTCAATGCTATCGGCCCACGCCTCGAAAAATGCGGTTGCTGTGTTATCGAATGTACCGCCAATTCCGGGTAAGGGTCTACACTCGTATCCACCCTCTCGGTTCCGAAAAATCATGCCAATTTTCGGGAGTCGTAAGGAAGTAAACTAGACCTATATTGAGAGGTAAGCTAAGCACCAGCCGGCCCTATAGGTCGACTAACATGACACTTTGCGACGGAGCGATAGAAGGCTTATCGGTGCTCTGTATCGCAATTGAAGTCGTAACCGCCTGGGGCGTCTGTGGCGACGCGGCCAGAGAGCAGCTCCATAACTATAAAGGCGGCTCCCACAGGATTATTCTCGTCAATCTCATACGCAAAAACTCGAGGCACTGGTAACTGGGGATGCTCCTTGATGAGTTTCATTGCTACAACTTCGGATTCGAGCTTGGAGCTGCTAACGACGTAAGAGGTAGCCCTTCGAATATGAACCCAGGCTGCCCAGTGAGTCTCGTCGCAAAACTTTTAGTACACGGACAATATTATTGAGCCTGCTTGCAAGTTGCGACCTGGTCTAAAGCCACGCATTCCAAATGGCCAGCAAACCCGAAGCAATTCGGCAGAGCTCATCCCATTGAGTCCGATAGAAACAATCGGCGGTTTGGATATCACATCTTTCCAGGAAAATATGCTCGGTAGTCCAAGGGGTTGAGCTGGGAGACATAATCACGGACTATCGAGTTCATGTGGGATATCCTCGTAGGCTTCTATAGGAGGAGAATAAAATAGAGAGAACTGTATAAAATAGACCTAGCGGTGTATATACTTGGTACGTGCACGCCGTATTGTTCCATCAAATGAAAGGCAGAGGAAATCGAGAGGACAATCGATCCAAAAGGAGGTATGACAAACCAGATCTATAGAGAGTACATCATTCAAAAGAACAGATATAGGCAAGAGAGGAGCAAGAAGTGGGAGTACCCGGTAAATATACATCTGCAAACCATGTAAAGTAGCCAACTGTCAAACAAACTGTCGAGCAATTTCTACAACATAGCATCTCTGGCACGTGATAGCCCTAGATCGTGACTTGTGGGGAAAGACCAAGGGTCTAGCCCGCCCCACTTTTACGCCCCACCTCCTCAAACGGGCCAACATAAGATAAGCAATAAGGCCTGAAACTGTTTTGAGATTGAACAAGACCTCGGGATATAAGAGATAGTACCCCCCACATATTACAGACCTCCTACACGGAGATACCGCACTGGGCTGCTAGAGAGGATAACCTGCCTTAGCAAATGAAGTGCTCGATCTGTTAAATCATGAAGTGCGGAACTGCTGGTTTTATGTAGGGGCTACATTGTTACTCCTGCGGATTAGCGCAGATGTTGAACAAAGACGAGACCGGCAGACCAGAAGAACTTATGGGCCTTTATCTAGGTTCCTACGATAAAAATAATCCTTTAGCATCAAAGAGGAGCCGGGACTTACCTGTCATGCTTGAAAGCAAGGAGATGATCCTCGACTCTGTCATGCGGCTGAAGAATTCTTAACTTAATATGACATACGATTTGTGAATGAATCGATGGTGGAATGTTACCTTCGGGCGACTCATCTGAGATGCATTGCTTAAGGCCACACTAACTACACCTTATGTTTTTTTTTGGGTCGGCAAAAATATCATAGAAATGTGTGTGGAGCGAGGGCTCAGAGGGAAAAGTACAGCATTGTCCGGGTGGCGATTGCGATGTACAAAGACTAGCAACTTTTGCGCGATTTTCCTTTATGGCGCCTATTCTAAAAGAGCCAATCATCTTCTGATTATTCCTCGTCTGAATTACAGCCAATCAGTCCGCCGGTTCCAAAGTTGTGTCTCGGCTTATTCTTCCCGTTTTCACATCATTTGGGTCATTTATCACCTCTTCCAAGGTTGAATGGCATGCTGGATAAGATAGGCCCTGTAGACTCCTGAGGTCCAGAAGTCCATAAATATCTTTCTCTCGCTTGTCTCTTAACCTCCATACCCAATTTCAAACCAATTGCAGTGGAAGTCATTCACTATGGAATAGCCCGACCTTCTTGACCTTCCTGCTCTTACCCAGAGCCTAACCACCAAGCAATCTTGATTCAAGCCAACGGTGTCTTTCTGCACAAGAAATCCCAGCGCCAGCTCGTCTTGATTTCACTGGAATCACGGAAAAGAAATAATGACGACTGCTGTACCTGAAAAATACGTGGTTCCCGCTGTCGTCCAGTCCATCGTAGTTAGTGAAATCCCAGGCGGCAGCATTAAATCTTCCTTGGATTCGACAGTGGGAGCCAGAGCAGAAAAGGGAGAAAAAAGAAACTTTTTTACTCGACCATGGGGACGACGTCAGATTGGGATACTCTGCGTTCTGGGGTTCTTCGGATTGGCCTTAACAACACTCGTCATTGTCCTCCCCATTTATTTCACTAAGATCTACGGCTTTGCGAAAGACACTGATAACTACTGGAGACTACCCCAGCCAAATGAAGACCACAGCTACTACCTCGAGGAGAATCGACCTGTCTTCGCCCTCGTCAATTTCCCGGACCCGGGCCTCATTCAACACAATGGCACATGGTATGCCTACGGGACCAATCCCAAGAAAAAGAACCCCGACAGTATCCATGTACCCGTTGCCACATCGACCGATTTTATTAACTGGACTCTTCACGAGGATTACGACGCGATGCCGACTCTTGGCACTTGGGAGAAGAAGGTCAATCATTGGGCCCCGGATGTGATGCAGCGCGTAAGTATACCAATGAGCATTAGCTCCCATCCAGTCTCTGATATTCATATATGAACTTTTAGGACGACGGCAGATTCGTCATGTATTACTCAGGAGAAGCCGAGAATTACGGGAGCCACCATTGCGTGGGGGTTGCCGTATCAACCGGCACGAGCCCACTAGGCCCTTACGTCCCCGAAGATAAGCCACTAGCCTGTCCACACAAGCATGGCGGTGCTATCGACCCCTCACCGTTCAGGGACACCGACGGCACGCTGTACGTGGTCTACAAGGGCGACGGAAACAGCGTTGGACGCGGCGGCAACTGCAACAACAGCAAGAAGCCAGTTGTATCCGTTCCAATTCTCCTACAGGAGCTGAAGAGCGATGGTATCACACCCGTCGGAGAGCCAGTGAAAATTCTCGATATTGACGATACAGATGGTCCCCTGGTTGAGGCTCCTGATATCTTGCTCACCGAGGACGGCACGTACTATCTGTTCTTTTCTTCGCATTGCTATGTCTCGCTGGGCTACAATGTGAAATACGCACACTCGAAAACCCTCAAGGGTCCGTACATCCGGGCTGATCGGCCTTTGCTGCAGACTGGTGATTGGGGTCTCGAGGCGCCTGGTGGTGCGACGGTTTCGACTGATGGGAGCAAGATTGTTTTCCATGCAAATTGCGGTAGATTCCGGTGTATGTGGTCTGCTGCTATTGATATTCGATCTAATAACAACACGATTGTTATGTCGAAGCTCGTGGTTGACCAGGCGTCGAAATCTACGAAATCTACGGGAACACTCGTGAGCCGGACTAGGAATAGCGGATTGCGATACCTTTGAGCAAGGAGGATTTACTATGATATATTCTCCACGCCTTTCATGTTTTGAATTTTTATTGCATCTAGCGCTGGGCGTTTTGGATTTCCTCATTTTTGCTAACGTTTGTATGAGAATCCTCTAGGGACCTCAGCTATAGCTGCTTTTTTAGGATCTATCAAAAGCCGAACTTTGCATGCTTCCACCCTCCATTCCTTGTTTATTAGCCCTTCGAACACTGGATTTACTTGATTTCTACGGTAGCCTCTAGCACCATAAACTAACCATGGTCCATAGAAGGCGAGGTTACAGATTAACCTGCTCTTTTGGTACTCCGAGGCTAATGAATTCCACATATATAAGACAGCCTTGTCAGACAAAGTTGCAAATAATATCTATCGTATGTTGTACATTGTATACTTCAACGCTGAAATCTCCACCAATCACCGATGTCGGTGATGACGCGACTGCTTAGTGCCTGAGGTGTCTACATATTCTCCCACCGGTAGCTTTCAACCTGGGAAGCTTTCTTTCCTTCCTTCCTCGCACAGATCCTACGCTCTTATAATGCAGTCGTTTCGAGGCGCCGCCAGAGCTGCTTCACGCATCATTCGAACCCAGCCATGGCGACAAGCCAACTCCCCTGTGAACACCGCGGGGTCGCATCGGACTTTATCGGCGCCATGGAAGACCGCACACCCATTGCATACTGTGTCGCCGCGAAAGTCAGCATCGGCCACCGCAGAGTCAAGTGAGAGAGACTCCTCCAATCCAGCCATGTCATTCCCCTGCCTCGATGCCCAAGAAGCGAAGTCAGCGCAACTCTCCGCTCGGTCGCTGCAATCCGGCCCCGAACCTTCATACACCACTGGGCGACACGAATCATACCACTGTGAACAACCACTTCTGCTCGACTGGGGCGGTGTGCTCACAGAATTTGATATTGCCTACGAAACCTGGGGGCAATTGAACGGCGACAAGAGCAATGCCATCCTCTTGCATACTGGCTTGTCCGCCTCAAGCCACGCCCACAGCACAGCGTCCAACCCCAAGCCCGGTTGGTGGGAGAAATTCATTGGCCCTGGATTGCCCCTAGACACGAATAAATATCACATTATTTGCACCAATGTTCTCGGAGGATGTTACGGAAGCACAGGCCCATCTTCCCTCGATCCGTCCGACGGAAAGCGGTACGCAACCCGCTTCCCGATCCTGACTTTGGACGACATGGTCCGCGCTCAGTTCCGACTTCTTGACGGCCTAGGAATCAAGAAACTCGCTGCCTCCGTCGGATCCAGCATGGGCGGCATGCAGAGTCTCGCAGCAGGCGTCCTCTTCCCAGAGCGGGTCACCAAAATTGTCAGCATCAGCGGTTGCGCCCGCAGTCACCCTTACAGTATAGCAATGCGACACACGCAGCGACAGGTGCTGATGATGGACCCGAACTGGGCGCGTGGGTTCTACTACGACGGCATCCCGCCCCACTCTGGTATGAAGCTAGCGCGCGAGATTGCAACCGTGACGTACCGCAGTGGGCCAGAGTGGGAGCTGCGCTTTGGTCGCCAGCGTGCAGACCCCAGTAAGCAGCCCGCTCTGTGTCCCGACTTCCTTATCGAGACGTACCTCGACCATGCCGGTGAGAAGTTCTGCCTCGAGTATGATCCCAACAGTCTTCTTTATGTCTCCAAGGCCATGGACTTATTCGATCTCGGCCATGCTCATCAGAGCGCGACTCTGAAACGCCGCGCAGCGTCCGAAGAGCGCATTGCGCACGGCGGCGACGTCCCAATTGGCTCAGACTCCGCTTGCAGTCTGACCCTCCCAGACAAGCCCTATGAGGAGCAGCCTGGATCAACCTCCAATACGACCCCGCTGGACAAGTCCGTCTCTGCTGACTCGGTGGATGGTCCTCCCCGGGATCTTGTTGTCGGCCTTGCGCCTCTCAAGGACCACCCTGTGCTTGTCATGGGTGTTGCAAGTGACATTCTCTTCCCGGCGTGGCAGCAGCGGGAGATTGCCGAGACACTCCGTGCTGGAGGCAACAAGAATGTCGAGCATATCGAGCTTGGTGATGACCTGTCGCTGTTCGGTCATGACACTTTCTTGTTAGATCTCAAGAACATCGGTGGCGCATTGGGCAAGTTTTTGCGCTAGTCGCATGGCGAGTTACGTCCGAGGCGATGAAGAATAATTAAAAAATTTGTAAATACGTCGTTCAGCGTGCGACATTTGGCATTTAGCAGGCGTTGTACATTTACGAAATGGAAATGAGATGCCTCTTCTCTGTTTTTGTTTGCAGTCGGGGATCGATGGATACCTCCAGACAGTCTACAAGTGGATGGTACGAAAAATGAACAGACATGCCGATGCATTATTTCATTTGATTCTACCAAGAGGTTATGTGTACATTGAACTCCAAATAAAAGGAAACTCGCCCTCAGGTTGCTCTCAGTTTTCATAACCGGCTTCCAGCTGTATACACGGTCCACAGGCACGAAGTGCCATGAATGGAGCCGTCGTCAAGCAGATGCATCAGAATTGGCTTATGTTCGTCTGAGACGAACTCATCACAGGGCGAGAAGGGGAAAAGCTCATAATGACACGACCCACAAAGCCCACAATATCACCACACCCACAAAAAAGCAGAAAGGAACAAATATAAAATCAAGACTGAGAACATGAAAGCCAGGATACATGATGAAAAGTACCAAATTTCAGTTGACGTACTAGGAGAACCCAGAACGTTTATAGAAAGACCACACTTACATTGCCCACAAGGCCAAAAATCCAAAAATCCACGAGACAGACACCAAAAGTAAAGCTTGGAAGCTAAGGTCGGTCTTTGGTGAAAGTTTTTTATAGAATCACAAGACAAACCAGGAAACCCAGAATGTCATTGATAGTCGAATGGTTATTGTTAGCCAATGCCACATTGTCGAAACGTCACCTTAATGGATATTCCCTCGAATTCAGCAGCTTAAAGGTGCGAAGAAGGAAAGAGAGGAAGTGGAGAAGGGCAGGTATTTATACTGCAGGCACAGAGTGCACAAAGGGAAGGGTCGCGTATCCGTTTGTAGGCAGAGCTGTTGTCCTTGAGGATACGCCTCAGCGTGTCATATCATGAGTGGCTCTCTTCAACAGGGTGACGAAGCAACCTCTGATATCTATCATTTAATCACAGTGATAATACAATAGCTGTCGACAGTTTTTCTCCACAAGAAGATGGCTTATCTTTTGAGACTTGTTAGAGGCTATGCGGTTAACTCTTTAGATTAGCAGGTGTTATAGGCGTGTGATGGTAGCCCCATGAAGTCGCTGTTGGCTGTTGCCTCCGCGAACTCTGCATTGGAGATCCTAGCGTGCAGGATATAGCCATGGACTTGTACAAAAAAGATTGGAGATGAGGAATTCAGGCTTGGCCAATGCCTTAATGGGAATATAAAATTGACAAGAAGCACTGATGTTGTTTTAAGTCCAAGGGATTAAACGTTCTTCCGTCCCGGTACTACCAGTATACTGCTTGCTGCCTGAGGCAAAAGCCATTTTCGATGCCTGGGGCTTTTCTACTGCATGGTCTCTCTATGGAACTCTCTATGACGTTCAGTTGGGAATACTATAACATAGGAACTGTTTCAAAATTGTGTTTCTAAGAGGTCATTTGGAGCTGCATTTCCCGGGTACTTGTGCTAACGAAGGGATGAAACTATTTGTATTTGATCTATCACATCATGCCCAAGAGTCATTAGAATTCAGAAACTGGACCAAATAAAATAGGCACTACGAATTCAGAGAAGAAGCCTCAAGATAAGGTTTCTAATCATAGATTGGTAATAAATATGCCCTCAGATTGAAAACTACCATGTTTTGTCACTCGTCACCGGCGTGCTTGTCGTTTCCTTGAAAGGCGTACAGACGAAGCACATATACAGGGCCTCGGAGTATGTAACTGTATTTTCTCATCACTGGGATATTATAGGAGGGAGGACATGAAAACACCTCACGATGAATATAGTACTCGGGAGGGAACAGGCGATTGGCAAACAAAACCGAAGGAGATGTGAGATTTGGAGATATAGAATATGTACAACACCCCTAAACGATGTTAGTTGAACACATTCAACAAAATTCCTTCAAGATAACACATAACAAGAAATATCAAAGGTCCGAGTCTCTTCAGATCTCTGTTCATTGTTCAATCACACACTTGTGGGCCGATGTCTTCTTCCACCCCGAGGTATCAGGGGGATGAAGTCCATGGCCCGACGGGTTCATTCAACCGACATGTCATGAAAGCTCTTGTGAGGTTTATCGTCATCAAGACTTGGCATGAGATATTCCATTGAATCTGCATTGCAGCTAGAGACCAGAGAACCAGTGTGAAAAAAACGTACCTTTTGTAATGGATAGCGAATAATTAGGCCGATGAACGCGTCGTTGTTGCATCTTCTCAAGCGATAAGAGGTAGTTGCCGGCATTGACCGACAAAGTTTTATCGGATTAAACATCAAGCTGTGCCTAGACGCGACTTTCTCAGTCAGGCTCTATAGTGTGATATCGAGACTGATGGCTGCATCGGTCTGCCAACAACGACCTTCTATTGAGTGAGATGATGCAAGAGCATATATAGCAATTTCATAAGATAATTGGCCGGCAAATGAAATTGTAAAGTTCCCGGAGATCGCATGAGTGTTGTTAGAAATATGGTGGGCACGGTGGTGTCGCGATGAGCACGTTGACCGCCTACCATACCGCCTTACTTAGTCCTTGCACAATTACCTAGCACCGCAGCACGTGATAGCCGGCGTAGTTTCACGAATTTGGCTTGCATATATTCCGTTACTAGAAGTCCATACCTGCGGTCGGCTACTTGTCATGGTCAGTACATCCCACATCCATAATGGCTCCCCCAGTATCAAAATGGTGGCAAGAGCCCAACGAGGCCGACCTCGACTACGGATTCGATTCTGACGAACCGGATACCAGATATAACGAACCTGATCGAAACACCTCCCACGAAAATAGAAGCAAATCGAGAGACATCCAGAATACATACGATAAGGGTGTGATTGCAAGCATGTCTTCTTGGCTCCACCGTCAGGCTGGTACCCCCCACGGACAGCTTGCGACAGCGGCCGTCGTATCCGGCGCAGCTGTCGCAAGTGCCATCCTTGGGTACCAGTCATACAAGCGCAAGGAAGCTGTTCATGATCTGAAGGCTTCGATCCCAAGTATAGATGATTTGCATGCTGCAGAAATGGTGAGATGCATCGGTGAACCTGCGCATTGAGTGCCAAGCAAGCTACAGGGCAAAAGCTGATTCGGCGGACTATAGCTCACCGATTTTGGCGCTGCCTCGAATGGAATACAGCTGAGCAAGGAAGATCAGCGCAGTGCAGCTTTAGCTCGCAGAGCGCAACAGGGGGACTACGATGATGGTATGTGGCTTTTCTATGGCTTGCTTCTGCGAACCTATCTCACTCGGCTCGTCTCGCTTTGATAGACTTGATTCTAGAACAGCTCGCCCGCAACCGTGTGTTCCTTGGCGATGAAGGCCTTGCCAAGCTCCGATCGTCATTCATTGTCGTTGTCGGCTGTGGTGGTGTTGGTTCGCATGCCGCTGCCTCCCTGGCCAGATCGGGCGTGTCAAAAATCCGGCTCATTGATTTCGATCAAGTCACACTATCATCGCTGAACCGACACGCTGTAGCGACATTGGCTGATGTTGGGACGCCTAAGGTCCAGTGCATCCGGAGGCGATTGGAACAAATCGCGCCGTGGGTCATGTTCGATTGTCGGAATGAGCTCTATGGAAAGGCCGCATCTGACGATCTTCTTGGCCCGTGGTCTCTGACACACGACGGGGAGGGCCGTAGACCAGATTTTGTGTTGGATTGTATCGATAACATTACGTCCAAGGTAGAGTTGCTACACTATTGCCACACGAACTCCTTGCCTGTGATTTCGTCGACGGGTGCAGGGTGCAAGTCAGACCCGACTCGCGTCGTGGTCGGTGACATCTCGCTCAGCACCGATGATCCTTTGTCCCGCGCTACACGCCGCAGACTAAAGCTCCTTGGTGTTTCGTCAGGCGTCGCAGCCGTGTTCTCAACAGAGAAACCGGGCCCGGGCAAGGCTACCCTACTTCCTCTCCCCGAGGATGAGTTCATCAAGGGTCAAGTTGGTGAGCTTGGAGTTCTTCCTGACTTCCGAGCCCGCATTCTCCCAGTGCTAGGGACCATGCCCGCAGTCTTTGGTTACACAGTAGCCAACCACGTTATCTGCACTATTGCTGGCTACCCGCTTGACTACAACATGGGCGCCAAGGGCCGCGAGAAACTCTACGATACCATTTTAAATGCATTGCTAAACTTGCATGAAAGAATGATTAAACAAACCACCGGTCAAGATACCGTGGGACTTCGCGCTCCTCTCAGCAAGGATGACATTGCATTCGTTGTAGAGGAAGTATACCGGGGAAAGAGTGCGATCAGTGGCTTGTCGAACAGACTGGCTCTCGTTCCCTGGCAAACTCCCGCACATGGATGGAAGATGGATCTGAGTCTTGAGAAAGAGGGACAAAAGACCGTCCCGATGAACATCAATGAACTGGTTTGTATGACGAAGGAGGAGGCTCTCCGACACGAAAACGAGGTGCTTAAGGGTGGCAAGAAAGTGGAAGAGGTATATGATGAGACTGTTCTCCAGCGTGTAAACCTGCGCAGACGGGAAGCGGAGGAGTACGATCAGTACCGAGGATAGTGTAAAATGTACAAATAAACTAAAAGGACAAATATCAAGTTCCAAACAGAAACAATATAAAGGAGTCGAACGTTACGGCCTAATAAAAGAAAGCGGGTCTAGGTATACGTCAGAGCCGCGATGGCTAATTCTGCCTCTTCACATTCACCTACTCTCGCTCAATTTCATCAAATGCAGCACATGAAGCATACAGTACACTTTCAAATAAAGATATAAAGCCTAACTCAGGCGCAGGAGGATGGCGCCTCTTGACTCCCATCTGCAGGACTTCGAGACCAACAGGGCAGATAACGACTACCACCCGACCACAACCCACCGTCCCTCCTACCCAAAACAATTTACACAATATTCTCGCCCACTGATTGATTCCGCTAGAAACGAATGGCAATTTAGAGCCGCTGCAGATTCCCAGCGCGCCTCCAGCTCCTCCGCGGATGACATCAAATCCCCGGGATGGTCCCAAATGGCTCTCTCGGTAGTTTCCGCGCCGCGGTTCCGACATGTGCTGATATATGTCGCGTTGTTTATATTTGCATTTATCGGTTGGCGAATGCTGGTTTCTCCACGACTACAAGAGCAAAAATCCCTGTTGCATTCACTTGATCCGACATCTGAGACAGAGACAGGTGGGTGGTTCGGGACAAACTCAAACCCTCAGTTCGACGGCTTGATTCAGATCCGTACCTTGGACCCAAACCTGGTGCCTGGGAACATAGCGGGAGTGGTCTCAGGGAAATCTAGTCGGAAACGGCTAATCATTGTGGGCGACGTGCATGGCTGTAAAGATGAGTGTAAGACATACCCCCCAAGTACGGGAATTCCTAAAACTGACAAGCCTACAACAGTGGTGCAACTTCTTGAAAAGGTTTCTTTCAACCAAGCAGGTGGTGATCACCTTATTTTTGTCGGTGACATGATCAACAAAGGACCAAACAGTCCAGGAGTTGTGGACTTAGCTCGACAGCATTCGGCATCTGGTGTCCGTGGAAACCACGAGGACCGGATTTTGCTTCTTCGCCACGAGATGGTGAATACTGAAACTCTCGCAACCCCCGATGACGATGAAGACGCTCGTTTCTCATCCAAAGAACTTGGCGAGCGTGTAGTCGCGCGGTCTTTGAGCGACGAGCAAGCTCAGTGGCTGGAGAACTGTCCAGTGATTCTAAATGTTGGCCAAGTTCCAGGCATGGGCCAGGTGGTTGTTGTTCATGCGGGTCTAGTACCGGGCATCGAACTTGAGAAGCAAGACCCTTCTAGCGTGATGACTATGCGGACCATTGATCTAGATACGCATGTACCCAGTCCGAAAAAGAACGGCATGAATTGGGCTAAAGTATGCCTTCTCTTTCTATTCCATTTCTTCAGTCTTGTCGTCATACTGACATACCTTCAATCTAGATGTTTGATAAGCATCAATCAAAATTATACTCGAGCCTCGAGACTTCCACTGAAGATCCCCTTGCAGGCACCATGACTGTTGTCTATGGCCACGATGCTTCTAGGTCTCTTTCCATCCGCACATTCACAAAGGGTCTTGACTCGGGTTGTGTGAAGGGGGGAAGCTCACGGCTTTGGTTATAGAGGATGGCGGAAAGCAAAGTATTGTACAGGTGTCGTGTCGTGGTTATATCGAGGAATAACAATTCTACACGATTGCTTTGGGTCCAGCATTATAGGCAAATGTATTCTTATGTGGTGGCTAAATGACATGTGATGGAACGCTCACCATTATGAACTAGGTATGGCCTGTAGGAAGTCAAATTCAAATTGCCGGCTTAAAGTTTGATTAGTCGAAAGCCAATCGTCGGAAAATAAAACAATAAAGAACAAGACCAGAAACCTCGGTGGAATCAATGGTACGAACTGTTCAATCCAGCAGGTGCTTGGTCAATCATAACACAGAGAGTAATGTGTTGATCCACGCGGATGTGAACAGAACAGAACTGTAGAATATAGAACTTAGAGCTTACTGTATGAGGGAGAGACTAAGCCCCTGAGGGAAGATAACTAGTATTACCAAAGATTCCGAGGCCAGAGCCCATACGTCGCAAATATACCAAGAATATCTGTCTAATTTCAAGAAGCATGAGGGTATGTACAGGGTGGCACTATGGCGCAGTTCTCTATTCGGACTTGGATTCGGATCCAGGATCCTCAGGGATCTCAGAATCAGGGAAAACAAAATTACCATCAGCGCCCCAAACAGCAGGTGGAGAAAAGTCTTCGTACCAAAGACCGCCCAAAGCATTAGTGTGAACGAGTCCAAAACGGAAATACTCCACCTCGTCGGGATAAGTGCGAGCCCAAGTGAAATCTGGAAAATGCTGGCCATCCTTAGGTCGGAAAACCTGGAAGCGCTCGACGTCGTTGACCAAAACACTGAGGCCGTCGGCATGGGGCTCGAGGTCCGGGAACGAAAAAACGAGGTTGTTCGCATCCGTCGTGGAAGGAGGATATATCTTTGGTGGAACTGTACCAAGTTTAGCACCATCAAGGAGTGCGCCTGGAGTTTGGAGGATGGAATCGAAGCCCCAGCGGGCGATGCCGTTTATGAAAAGACCAATAAGAATACCTGAGTATAGGAGACTGGGTCGCGTTTGCAGAGTTGTTCCAGGTAGGAAGAGAAGAGAGAGAATGTAATGGTGGATGCGTAGGTTCATGTTCGGGACGGCGACAAGGATGAGAACAACTACAACAAGGACGCCGTAGATGCTTATCGTAGGGAAGAAGCGGCCTTCGCGACGGTAACAGTGTGCTTGACCAAAGGCGATTACGATCAAAGACCCAACTACAATGATGAGAGCTGTGAGAGCACCCGGTTGCTGCTGGATATCGTGAGGCGTGAGGCGAGAGATTGGAATGCGATCAAATGTGTCCGTGTTCAGGGCGCCAACCCAGCAGCCACCCAGCCACAAGACGGTCTTGTCCCAGTGTGCATCCAAATCTTTAAGCGTGTACCGGACACAGAAGTAATATAGCACGAATCCCACAAATGCGCCAGGCAGGAATCGACCGAGCGCAATTGACACAAGGTCATAATAGCTCCCGATCGAGGGCGGGTCGGACGCCATAGCGACTTGGAACCAGACAATGAAATACATCATGGAGTAGAATGCCGGTGCTGATGTCACGACCAATGATAAGAAGGTGGTCCAGATCAAAGTGAAGGCGAAGAGCGACCAACGCGCATCAGAACACTTGATCGGTGTTGTCTTATTCGAGTCTGGGGATGAGGCTTCATTCTCTAGTCGGAATGACATTGGGAAGCTTGAGAGAAACTCGATACTTTCAATTCCATGCTGCATGATAGATTGGAAGTTTTTTTGCTCGCCGGTGCGGTGCAGGATACCACATCCACCCCTCGCGTCATCAATTATACCAGCATGCAGTGCTGACGCGCAAATTGACGAATCGCCTCGGTAAATGCTGCTGTTCTGATCATCCACCTCCAGTGGCTTACCTCCCACGACTAATGGCCGGTAATTGAGCTCCTGGTCGCCAACAACATACGGTTCCAGAAGAATCGCCGCTGCACAGCCTGAGGGGCAGCGGAAGGCGAAGGATTGGTCCTCGAATGGGCGACAAAGGTCACCATTCAGTCCGCAATTCGTAGAATTGCTCCTATATAGATATGGTCAGGTCACAATATCAAATGATCTGCTTAGGGATAAGAATAGAAACACACCATAAACGGTGGTGACACGAGAGCTTGACGGGCTGCCCATACCCCGGAACCTCTTGGCCCGCGACAGAAGCTTTCAAGCACGCGAAGAACACGACAATCCAAAAGATTAAACCGCCAAAAAGGAGGGCGATCTTTGAACTCTTGCGCGGAAATTTCTGATCAATCAGACGCGCCGGCGCAGCCTGCAAACGAGGAAACCAAGGGTTAATGTGATAGATATGCGGCGGCGTCGGGCCGCGGAGCCAAGCGCAGAATCCCGAGGGCGTACAAGAAAACGGCGGATCGCGCTCGAATTTCCCCGATTGAGCCTCCATGCCGTCGACTTCCGAGGGCAGAAGAGGCAGGTTGCCTGATTCTAAGTCCAAGCTCAGTTCATCGCTGTCGCGGGCTTCATCCTTGTACCGCGACCCGATCTCCTGCAAGGGATACTCGGAGGTCGACAACTTATCTTGTGGGGGTGATGGCGAACTTGCCCCGGCAGAGTCCGGTCGCGACTGCATTTAAAGTCTTTACCTGAGCTCTGGAGCTCTTAGTGGGAAGGAAGTGGTGGAATTCCTCATGTTCAATGTCGAACTAGCAACCTTGTTGGCCCTGGAATTTCTTGGCTTTTAGTCATCCGATATCAAATTGTGGACCCTGAATCCCATCTTGGATGAGTTCAAAGATATTAACAAATTGAATGCATAGTCTAGTCAAGCTATATGCTGTGAATGTGTGTCTCGGAGTGTACCTATTTAGTGTCACGATCTTTCTAGACCGCTATCACATGCTTATGTTCGCTTGCTCGCTTACTGTTTGCATAGTTTACTAGTTAGTTTGCATTTCATGGATTATTTGTTAGATCGCTAAGCTTTGCAACATTTGTAGAAGCGCCAGCTATATGAGCAGGTAATCTCCTGCTCCTGCACTTGCTTCTTCTTTCCTTTTCCATCTTAGTTATCTCGTTGAATGCACTCCTTCTCTTCTTCAGATCGACCTGGCGTCTCACATTTAGGATGATAACCCTAAAGGTGACGTTGCCGCCGACTCCGTTAGGTCTCCCCCTCTTGATAGACTACATTGGGTAGTCAATAAACCTGGTCACACTGGCTATAATGGATATACCATTTAGTAAACAGTGTCAGCTCCCTATCTAAGTCCCAGCCGATAGAAACTCTAAGATCATCCCGTATCAGGTAGCATTCCCGATCCCTTCCCCCGCTAAGTATAATAGTAGCAAGAACCCTTTGTGGAGGTTGCGGAGCCGATCGCCACTTAAGTCGTCTCAACCAAAATCTCCTCTACCAAAGCTGATCCTTCCTCTAAGGAGAGAGACCTCTAGACCGGTGAATACAGCAGCAGTTGCTGCTAACGATCTTATATGGTGCTACAATGCTTTGTCTTGTTTTGTCTTGATTTGCTCTGTTCTATTCTATCAATTAGCTCGGCAAACAACAATCCGGTACCTCCGCATATGTATAGACAATGCATTTTTCTAGAAGAGATAACCTCATTCAGTTCAGCCTACAATAGTATATATATCTATCGAGCCAAATATTCTTTATTTCACTTCTACCTCCCTGGGCTCGAAATACCATCGTTTGAGCACCACATTGCTCTAGGAATGTATAGCTAACGTACGTACCATCCGGATCAGAATTACTTGTTTGTTTCTCGAATTTCTATCAAGTCAGGCATTGCTTATATTCTTTAGATAACCTTTCTCGATCTTATAACAACTTAATATGCCCACCTATGGATAAGCGGAATGAAAGATCTCTGTATCATGTGGAAGCGTTGCTTCTTATAACACAACCTATTCGTTGTGAAGATATAGCACTAGTGAGAGTGATGAAAAAAGACATTGTTCTTCTTAAGGTGAGATGTAACAATAAACCCGCAATGTAATGACTGTTGAATGGTTGATTGACGTTGATGATATGTGGAAAAAGGCACGTGATATCCGCAAGCTGTCAAGCTCATGATTTCCTCTTCGGATTTCTTCCCTGCCAACGCCCACGATACCCGCGTTTTTCGGGTCGCTGACTTGGTCAATTCTTCATCATGGTGAGACTCACATTTCTCAGCTCAAATCCACGGGGAAATCCCCGTATCAAAGTCGGGTCACGTCTTGCTAATTCAAGCCCCCGCTATGTAATAGGCACGCAACAGTGAAAAAGCGCAGTCGATGCTGTTCCGCTTCCGCGCGCAGCAAGCAGCCGACCTCGGAATCATTGATGTCTCACGCACCCGACGCCCCAAAGCGATCACGTCCATCGATACGGTGCCAGTATGCGAGCGCTGGCGCGGACAGGTCGTCAAAGAAATTTCGCGCAAAGTATCACGCATCCACGTGCAAAGCCTGAGCGACTACCAGATCCGCGATCTCAACGATGAGATTAACAAGCTCATGCGCGAGAAATGGGCGTGGGAAATGCAAATCCGCAACCTCGGCGGACCGAACTACATGCGTGGATCGAACCGACTTTACGACGATGAAGGACGCGAGATCCCCGGCGGAGGAAGAGGCTACAAATATTATGGTCGTGCCCGGGAGCTGCCTGGTGTCAAAGAAATGATTGAGGCTGCGGTTACTCGCGCGAAAGGACCGGCGGAGGAAGAGGCTGTGTCTGGCCGCGGTGGAGATATTGCGACGAGGAAGGTTGATGCCAACTACTTCGGCTATGGTCTCGATGAAGAAGATGGTACGTTATTGGCGTATGAGAAGCAGAAGGAGAAGGAGTCTGTTGAACACCTGCGCCACCAAGGAGAGGATGATGCTGAAGATGGCTGGCAATCTCTACCTGGTGATGCGGGCGACGGGGTGGAATGGAGACTCCCGACGCTGGATGAGGTCCAGGAAGAGCTTGTGGATAGGCGGCGCCGCCGCCTTCTGGACAAGATCTCTTGATTTAGATACTGCGTTCAAAATTCCCTGTTTCTATTTCTGTCCTTTGCCTGGGTTCGGCGTTACAGGTGCTTGTGCAATATCTCCACATTTAAGGCATCATTCTCTGGTTCATCGTAATGACACCACTTGATTATTATTTCCAAATATCCACAATATCCCGAAGGCGGATTTATTATGTACAATATTTTACAGATCGCTCGTTGTTGCATCCGGTTTGTTCTTTCGAGTCGTCCTTTCCACCCTCAAGGCCTGCGTCATGCTCATGCGCGGTGTTTGCGTAGGATCTTCCCGCCGTTGTTCCTCTGCTTCTAGGTCGTCCACCAAAAATTGACCTAGCTCTCCTTGTCTCCACTTCTGTATAAAAAGAAGTGCGGCTCCATCCATCATTGGCACTCCGCCTTTTGCAAGCAGGCCAGTTTGGCGCGCAAAGCTTTCAATTAATGGAACCACATCATTGGTCGGTTCCGACCAGCGCTTGTATACTGATGGATCATTCAGGTTTATATGATACAACAAGTAATCCGCCATGGTTATCGCGGAAATGACATTGTCCTTGACACAGCCACAGAGAGCCAGCTTGAGCATATTCTCTGCTTCTGGAACATATGGCATAAACACTCCCGGCGTGTCCAGAACGTAGACATGTGATCCGTTCTCACGGTCAATGATCTTCACCTGCGTGGCTACCTTGCGTGTGATACCGGGTTGCTGCCCGGTTTTCATAGCCTTGGCTTTGCCCGTGCCTGAGTTGCGTAGATTGTTGATCAGTGTTGACTTGCCAACATTGGGCATTCCGACAACTAACACTCGACAGCCTACTAATTTATCGGGAGCTTCGGCATCGGTTCGAAGGTGTTTGATGATCTGGCTGACATCTTGGCGGGAGGACGAGCTAGTGAAGAACACGGCGCTCTTTGGATCAAAACTTTGCAATTTGCGTTCTATCTACAGCACTATTAGCTGATATCCAGCAGTGTTCTGTTATCTCACTGCATAGCCAAGAAGCAAATACATACTATTTTCTGGGCAGATGATCTGGGAGTGCTTCCCAGATCTCTCTTAGTGTAGACGACCAGTCGTCGCATCTTGCCCAAAGCTTCCTCAAACATGGGGTTGATCGAGGTCACGGGGGCTCGATAATCACGACACTCGACAACATAGTCGATAGTTGAGAGCATGCTCTTCATCTTGGTCAGACCAGCTCTGTGGTGTCCTAAGAAATAGGACCGTGGAATAGCCCCATAATGAGGGAATACATTGCGCGGAACGAACTGGGCCATTGGAGCTCGTTGAAGGAGAATATTTTTCAGTCCGGTGAAATATGATTCATCTTAATCGGAGCGGTGGATGATCAGTCTCAAGGGACTGGATTGATTCAAGAAATAAAATCGCTGGTCCGCGGAAGGCAACAAAAAACCCGTCAAAATGTCCAGGGCGGAAGGGCGGGCGGTGAGTGAATCATGTGCAGCAACTTAGGGCTTTGCAGAGTTCCGTAGTGCTTCATTCTGGAGATTTCTGTTTCCTTTTTGCGCGAGCATAGCCTTCCTGTCTAATTCAAGCTCAACAGAAAACACAGGTTAGGTCAACCCTACTTCTAATAATAATTTGGCGCGTGGTACGTTCGGCTGCCGAGCGGGAGATGGTTACCAAAGCCCGCCAGAGCCCGCCAGAGCCCGTCAACTGGGCCCCTTGATCTCTACCACTGCTACTTTTTGTCTAAAGTGATCACCGTGGTTTAGCCGTGTATGCGACGTAAACAGACAAACCCCGAGGCAGCCCTGCCTCTTTTGTCCAACCCCACCCAATGTGTCTCGGGATTTTTCGTTCTAGATAGCTCAATTGTGACTCATTTTCCACTTGTCTTTCTCCTTTTTCCTGGTTCTCGGGGTTCCCTTCTGCCGTATGCTCCGACAGCGTCACCCTCGAAGGCTCATTGACCAACAGGGTGGTGGCTGGTCCACCCAGGAATCATACGGGTATCTTTTGTATCAGACTTATGCAAGGAATACTGCCAGTATTCTCAGACCATAATTCAATTTGAGGTCCAATGTTTCAAGTATCTTTGTTAGAATATAATCTTCCTATATTGAGCAACGGGATCAAACACAATAGTCAAGAATAGTTCATTTCTTGATTCGCCGGTCCACGACAGACACTCGTACCATGAAGAGAGGGACTATATGTTGTGGTTTTTCCGTTCTTAGTCCGAGTTCACACCTCTTTAGCCTTAACCCGACGAAGATGTGCAGCCGTAGACCAAGGGAAATGACCAACGGGAACTATTAGAAAACTGTTATTGATATCAGAAATAGCCGCAAAGGTATTATACCAAGCCGAAGACGCTGCCAAAATACCAAAAATACCGCCTGTCCTCTCAAGTGCAACCGGAATCTCGCCATGAGAGTTGCATTGAATGTGCGCAATGCCGAGTAGAAGGTAGTTCATGTCCATGAAAAAGTACAGAGAGAACATCGCAAGATTAGATTTGAGAGTGCACAAGAGCATCAGTGTAGTGAAGATGCACCAGCCCTGTATGCATATATCGTTCTCAGTATATGTCCCCATGATAGTAAATCTTGAATTTGATGGAAGTGGCTTACCAGCATGAACAGGCCCATTAAGAGCTCGTTCTGACATATTGGATCTACCATACTTCTTGTAACATCGGTATCGTCGAAAGTCGAGATCAGAGAAAATGATATCCAATAGGCACCGAAAGAACAAAAGGTCGTCGCGCCAAAAGTATTCCCAGTCGCCATTTCCCTACTCTTATTAGCACTAGGCAACACACAAAGCGGGATAGGAGTTTCGGGGGGAGAATGGATAGAACATACCACATGCCAGCCAACACCTGCGCTATACCACCAGAACTCAAAGCCAAGGACATACTGACCCCTGCTACTTTCATACCTCCCACAATGAGGGCGACACAATTCGAGAAGAACGATGCACATAGACCTAGGGGAGCGGGATTGGCAATGGTCCGAACGTTAACAGGCAAAGACTGAAGTTCCAGTTTGCACAATGGTATAGGTGTCTCCGGAATATTTGATGGGGGCGGAGAGTAGTCATGGCTGGCTTGAGACACCACTGGGGAGCCAATCTTGTCCTGCGTACTCGGCTGGATGTGATGGTTTGATGCAGCCTTGGTTCTTTGGACCGTAGTGACGGTAATAGTATGCTCCATCAATATTCTATATGACCAAATGCTGATTTTGTGTTTTCGGGAAGCCGTTTAGGGAAAATCTAGTAATAATATGGCCAGTAAATAGAGAAGAAGGGCAATGGAGATAGGAATCTACATATTGAAGAGGGAAATGCACGATGGGCAGCCTGGCCACGCAGGCAAGACGAGAACGACACAACAACACCAACCATCCAGGAGGGTCAGCTAGCAAGCATAGGGATCACATAGACCACACCATAGTATACAATCTCCTAGTGCTCAAACATCTCGCAACTCGTTTTTTATTCCTGGGGTGATGCTCCCTCTAGACTATCTGCTCCCCGAAACTCTACTTGACAGCCAGGCTCTCGTTTTCTCTGCCTGAAGGACAAGGCCACTAAACTAGGCATTCCGACTTTCCCCACTACAATATATATATAGTCTAGGATATAGATGGTACATACCTCTGGGAAGAGCACTCGACCTAGGTACTATCACCCAGTGCACAAGCAAGCTACAGCCAAACCCCGTTGAAATCGAATGATTTCAATATTCCGGAGGTTTACAAAAGTGGAGTCAATTTCTACGGGGTTTGAACTGTAGTCCCTTTTCCATAGAGAGCGTGTTGGATTCCCCGAATCCGGGAAATATATACGGGGAAGTCGTCGGGATTCGATAATTAGCATTAGCTAATAAGAAGCCTACGCTCGGGTAGTGCCGCGAGAAATAGGAGCTCTATGGTATGTTTCACTCGATCATAAGATATTCAAATACTGTTCCCACAATAATAGAACATCTTGCACGTTGTGCACTTTAACCAATTTATTACAAATTGCTAGCACGGGTCAATACCGTCGGGATCGAAACTAAGAAGAATTACCTATTACTTCCTATATACATCGTAGGTATATGTGTCGTTAATGTGGGGATGATAACTTGCAAGACGACCAACGCACTAAAACTGGGGGTTTGGCGCTTTGCTACAAGAATTGACTTCACCAAAGTGCAGTGATACCTGTAAGGTATAACATTTGAGATTCACCAAAATGTATATGTAGGCTATACCTAGGCTAGGAGTGCCATACAACATTGGAGGAAATGCTAGGAAGTTCTACTTGCCCCGGATGTCAACCACGTTGAATCTGCCGGAGGCTTGACCTGGCTATATCTATATTTTGCAGAGCCTACTCAGGCTCCTGTGTGGGCATCGCTCGGGATTTCAACAAATAATTGCTATCCAGACAAAATAATCTAGATTGGGTATCCTGGCTTTTATAAATCCATCGTATTGCGCCGCATGTCATGAGGAAAGAAGCAGAACCCCCATCCCACAACATCATTCCCAAAACGCCACAACGCTTGTGGTCTGGAACCAAAAAACAAAAACAAGAACAAATTAAAGTATATGCAAGGTCAGCAGGGAAATTCCTTACACATCCCAAGGCGCACAAGTCTTCAAAGTACCAGAGCTTATGCCCGCCAGCCCTGCACGAAATCGTGCAAGCGATCAATCACAACACCAAATATAGCATTGACGCTGTCTGCGATAAGTTGCTCGAAGTGGCGGATGGCTTCTTCCTCGGTCATCTCGAGATGGAAGCGCTCCTTCACTTTCAGGACGGCTTTATCGGGCTCCACTCGAATATCAGGGATATTGGCATCAACCATCAAACTGAAGAGGTTAAGAATCAGATTGGCAGATTTTCGCAGCGTGGTGTAAGCAGTGTAGCAGTACTGCTTGAACTGCAGATATTGGGGCGAGGTTGTGCCGCCCATGCCTTCGACCATTTCCTTGCAAAGTTTCATCATGGGCGCAAAAGGCTTCGGATCACGACCAAGGATGAACCCAAAGTCAGCGTGGAAGAAGTGGCCATCTGGTGCTAGAAGCAGGTTTTCAAGATGCCGGTCGCCAACGCCGAGGAGGTACGTGATAACGCAGTATCCTGCACATGATTTGACGTATGTATCCATTGCTTCTTTGCGAACGCCAAGAGGCTCATTGTCATCTGGGTTATTGGCTTGCAGATAGGCAAGGATTGATTTATACTTGGCGGACGCCGCGGAGAGAGAAATCGAGGGGATGAATTGCACGGCGCCGGCCGTTGCGCTGGTGGCAAGAATTCGATAAGGAGTCAGTTTTAGATCAAGGTTCTCCTTCTGCAAAAGGCGATCCATCAAGATGATGATCTGGATGACCAATTGGTCCTGGCGAAGATCATCACCGACTTTGAACAGCATCGGATAACGACGACCTTCAGAAGTCTTGAACGTGATAAGTAAAGGGGAAAGAGTGGATTTGAAGACGTTGGATTCCTCGGGGTATAATCCAACCACTGAAACATCGGGATCTAAAGGTAGGGGCAGCGATGGATCTATGTTGATCAGGTCGTTATCAGGGTCACGGAGATATTTTTTCAGCATCTCAATCTTGCCGACTCTGTTTTCGCGTGCGAAGCGTACGTCCTTGGCTATTTTGGAGAGCACAGCCACCATTTCACCTTGGCGTAATAGTGTCTTTCTGTGCTCAGGATGAAGCTTCTCCAGTTCAACCATGAAGTAGTATTCAACCCGCGCAAACAGCCGACGCTGAATTGCATCAGCGTCATCGAATTCGACCATAAGATACCAGTGTAGGTAGTTGCCAAGTTTGAAGTTATTAGCCGCACGCGAAATCAAGAAATGTGCAAGCGAGGACTCCTGCGGAGCCGCATCAGGTTGGTTATCCGGAGTTGCGTCATATTTCAGAGCTTGCACCAATTGAAGAAGATAAAGAAGCAATTCCTCGTCATCTGCCTTCCGCAGTGTTTCCACAGCGTACGAACGGACCGCAGGATTATCAAAGGTGGGACCAAGAATCTCAAGAGCGTCGTCGACGTCAATCTCGGTCCATTTAGGGAACATTTCAACAGCTTGCCGCGATTCTCCAACATCCCGCCAGTTGACCGATTTGACGAATTTTGTCAATGCCTTCTTCTCGCGTGTAAGATGATACCTGAAACGCCACACAAGATCCTTCTCTTCAGCGGTGAGGTCTTGTGTCGGTTCATAGGAGATAATCATATTGAGATCATCCCTGATCTTTGGGTTGGGCTTCAGGTCACGATCCATGATGCCGGTTCGATGGCTCCGGATCAGACGCCGGTGCTTGTCCTCACACGGGTTTCCGATTTGACCAACCTCCGGATCATAAATTTGAATGATATTATGGGGATCGGCATTTGAGATTCCAGGTCCAAAATGTACCTCCGGAACTGGCTTGAGGGTAGCATTGGGGTGAGGAGGTGCATTTTGGGGCCAGGAAGAAATGGGCGGAGGAGGATACTCGTGATCAGCCCACACAATGGGATGATCAAAGCGTGGAAATTCGACGTAGAGGTCGAAATACTCATCTTCGATGTTCTCTTCGTCAGAGCTATCATCCTGATCTTTGACGTGTTTCGGATCTTTTTGTAGGGCTGCATGAAGTTCAAGCGCGCGCTTTTGAGCCGCTTCATCTGCATTTGTCTTCAGTTTCTCCAACTCCCGAAAGAGCAATTGATCCATCCAGTCCACACGTGGGATCTCCCCCATTTCGTGTTTCTTGATCAAGACTTCGACTCGTTCTAGTTCCGCTTCTTCGGGTGACTGCTGTGAAGGATCACGGGTATTCGGCTTACGACGCTTAGGTGGTAAAACGGATGGAGTAGAGGTTGTAGCAGAGCCGTCTGCGTCCTTGTGTAAATAAACCTTGCACTTTTGTCTGCCCATTTTCAATTTCCCGTCTTCATCAAACAAAGTGATTGTAGTTCCACCGAATGGGACGTGCGTAATCCTATCAGCAGCGAGTGGAGACATATCAACGATGGTGATTGCGAGCTGAGCATTACGCTCGGCATCCTTGATAGACATGGGCATCTCCAACCATTCATTCCATACGCGGGTAGTTTTGAAGGCCTTGTATTTGGTCTTCATGGGCACGCCCAATGGCTTCGACTCTGACCATATCTGAGCGGTCACATAGAGATCGGAGGCGGGGTCTTGGACGGAGGCAATATGCCGCAGCTCGGCGTTTTCATCTAGAACGGTGCATGGAATCGGCTTCTGCTTTCCCTCTAACGAGCCACTGTAGATGTGTCGGCATGAGAAAAAGCCCAATGCTTAGGAATGTATAACTTACATCTTTATGCGTATTGGTATGTCCACTTGAGTGGTCACGGCAAAGGTGAACGCTTCCATCTCTGTTCCCCGTTTGGAGAGAGCAACAGGTCGCTGCGTCATGGCCGATAAGCAACCCGACGTGGGGAGGTCACGTGGAAGGTCTACGCGACGCGACAGGCGTTCGCGATCACTAAATGGAGCCACACGTCTTTTTCCTCCATGTATTTCGAGGTATACTCTTTGTCTAAATTGGGCTACCGTGTATAGTTGTACTCGATTAGTTGCCCACTTTTTTCTTTGTTAAACTCTCTTTGTTCCCACTCTCATATCATCTCGCACTGACTGCTGATCGAGTATGGCACGTCTCATTCACACAAATCTGGACGAAGCAAACACCCCAGGTCCCGGCCCAACATCATCAATATCACCAGACTCATTTACTTCTGATAAAGAAAATCGGCATCAAGGTAATAATAAGAGAACTACCGCTGCGATGCCACCGCGTGCACAGGGTAAACGACGGCGGTTAACCGACCGCCCCTCAAATACCCAGTCTGCTCGATCTGCTCAGTCTGCCCGATCTGGGCAGTCGCAAGTATCATCTCAACGAACCAGCAGCGACACACGATACTATGATCCTGATCAGGACCCCGATGAACGGAGAAGTGTACGGAGGGGACTTCGAGAGCTGGGTAGGGAACTAAATGGTAAGTTGCTTTGGCTGGACTCGAGACTCGGGTAATGGTGCTCTAACACGCCCACGAAGACACGCGAGGCGAGCTCATGCAGCCTGGGAATGATGGTATCCTCAATATTGTTGAACAAGCAAATCAATTCTACGTCAAAGTGAAGCAGACCGCCGACGCCACGCTCGATTCGCGCATCCTGGTCAACACCGCCGATCTAACACACAAAAAAGCCACCCAGCTCGCTCTCGGTGACACCTCTGCCGGTATTGATGTAGACGAGTTTGTCTCCAAGTGTGTATCGTTCATGCGTCGCGGCCCAAACAATGCGACGGCTTCAACACAAGGACGCCGAGGGCGTCTTGGTCGAAGCCAAAGAGATCCCGATGCCAGTGACGAAGATGATGATGGTGATGCGATGAATTGGGACACGCTTGGCCGATCGGCCTGCTTTCCTAGCAATGCTCGTCCGGCCGTGTCCGGATGGTTGCTGGGGCCGCTGTCAGTACAGAAGCGTACGCGGCAAATGACACAGCGAAGAGCAGCAGAGGTTATTGATCCATCGCAAGCCGTGGCACCTCGAGAAATGGCACAGCAGGATCTTGGCCAACAGGACAGCACAAATCTGACCCAGATCTGTTCCGATATCAACAAGCTGCTTGCCACTAGGCAGCGTATCAGTCAGAAGGCAGTTGAGACAGAGCTTCGCAACGAAGCAAATCTCACAACAGAGAAAGCACAAAAAATCATGGACAAGCATAGCATAGCGGACGACGGAGGAATTCCTTTGTTTCGCTTCTGTATCAACCCGCATTCTTTCGGGCAAAGTGTGGAAAACTTGTTCTATGTGAGCTTCCTTGTGCGAGATGGCACAGTGGGTGTACAAACAGATAGTCGTGATTTGCCGACCCTGCGTGAGTATTTTTCAACAGACTGGTTGATACAGCACTAATAGGTTGACAGATCCGTCCGCGCCATTCGCCCCCAGTGAAGCCCAAAAGAAAGGCGTGCAAAAACATCAGGCGGTCTTTAGCCTGGACCATGATACGTGGCATGAAATTATCGATGTTTTCAAGATTAAGGACTCCATCATCCCCCACCGAAAAGAGGAGGAGCAAGAGACTGGCACAAGTTGGTATGCCTAAGCTTCTTCTGAAGACACGATTCCACGAGTCGATGTGTGTTTTGCAAGATACCCCTAGATCTTTTGACTTGTATTTCTCGATGAATTTAATAATCTAGCTTTGTACTTTGAATATGTCGTATTCTATGGCATTTAGCACAATCACGAGTGCGACCTGTAAAGACACAAATTGGAAATCCAAAACGATAGACCTATACTTGGATAGGATATATATTTTAATGTAAGCCACATATATGTACATAACTACGGAGTACATAAATGCGGAGCAGTTAAGACAACAACTAGGCCTGGAACCCTCCAGGGCTGCCCAGGCGGGCCGTACCACCGTCCACTCTGACAAAGCGGATCACTAAGCTCAGATTCATAACTACGTCATTATCAGGTTGTCTGGCCTCCCAGCGAACTTCTGAAGACTGATCCCTACTCTTCAATTTTTTAATATTCAAGAATTGAAAATTTCTCTAATTTGTTACTGCAAGGACTTTACGATATATCTGTAGCTCCAAGACACATCAACTGAGACATCCAACGCCAGGGAAAACACAAACAAAATCAGGAAAGCCGCCAAAATGCCACAGCTCTTTCCAGCCAACCCTTCGGCGACTATGGTAATTCGCCATGTGACACCAGATATCGTGACCATGAGTCTTCCTTTTGCACGGTTCGGACGCCTGCAGTTCGGCGGGCGAGGGACATTGGGTGAGTGCCGACTCTACAGAGCCAACCTACCAGGCGCATGATACATCTGGGGACAGGGGATGATGTGCAGTGATTTCAAGCCCATGGGGATCCTTGTTTAAGATCTATGCTAATTCTCCTTGCATGTGACAGTCAAGCTTGCCAGCGGCTCCCTCGCAGTATTCTCTCCCGTCGGTTTAACGTCTGAAGTCCGCGAGACAGTCGAGTCCCTCGGCGGAAACGTCAAATACATCACGGCGCCAGATATCGAACATCACCTCAACCTCACCCCGTGGAAGAACGCATACCCGCAAGCAGAGATCCTAGCTCCGGAGGGTCTCTACGAGAAGCGACAATCAAACCCGGAATTCAAGGATACCCCGTTCAAGCATGTATTCAAAAAGGAGGATCAACTGCCACGGTCGATCTCGAAGGAGTTCGATGCCGAGTTTGAGAGCGAGTATGTGTATGGCCACGGGTCGCGTGAGCTGGTGTTTTTCCATAAGCCCACGCGCACGGTCATCGAGGCGGATCTGCTTTTTAACCTGCCCGCTAAGGAGCAGTATTCCAGGACTCCCGAAGCCGGGACTAATTTCCTTACCAAGCTGATTATGCCGCTGTTGTCCACCAAGCCGCCGGCTACATGGCAGAGGCGGTTCGCATGGTATATTCTCTCGTCACAGGATCGGGCGGCGTTCACTGAGTCTATGAAAAGGATTGATCAGTGGGACTTTGATCGTTTGATTCCTTGCCATGGTGATACCATCGAGACTGGCGCTAAGGGGATATTCCGAGATGTGATGGCATGGCACTTGGAGCAGAAGAATACGTAGTCTTCTTTATCGAAACTATTGTAACAGTTGATACTTTCATTTTGACTCGGGTGTTGTGGATGGGACTGCATTGGTGTGATTTTCTTCTTCGGGGACGTTGTAGGCAGCATTATTTCAAATTTGATCTTCTCTCTTGGCTCTCCGAAGTGGGTATGTATTCTCCATACTCCGTACATATTCTTATTCTTGTCGCTGTTGCTATTCATAGTTTTTATGGCCCACTGATAGGTCAAATAGTAAACTTTGCATCGCCCGCATCTTTCTAGGATCTTCCTGTATGTATACACGAATGTTCATTGCTGCTTAGTTCTGCTATTTCCACTTTTCATACGTGAAATACTACCCTACCTACTATGTAGTGATATTATACTCATAAAAAATCAAGTGTACTTGATGTTTAGAGAGGCTGGTGTCCACGTCATAGGGCTGAGAGAAAAAAGCAAGTCAGATGACTCAAATTAAACATGATGTCAGAGGTGTAAAGGTCTCTACGCTCCAGCCCCTGTCACAACGTACGGAGTAGAGAACAACATCCACCTGTCAGACAGCAACAATGATCGCCCTGAGTGGAGCCCAACCCAAATCCCGGACCAAACTAGAGCTATCGGCAATAGTCGCTAGGATCGGCAGTCGAAGAGCAAGCCACGGAAGTATACAAAAGTATTCCAGCAAAGAAAGGCCCGTATTCCATGCCAGCACATCGGGTGGTTTTCTAGCACGGGGAGGCTGGGCCTGGGGAAGACAAGGATGACGATATGGTTAATTTGGTCGAAACTGCGTGGCCCTAGGCTCGACTTTCGTGGCATTTCCGTCTGCTGCTTTAACCAGCCACAATCATGTATGTATACAGCTCCCATCATTGAGAGGAAAATCTTATAACACCCCCTCAGAATGAAAACCAGCGCACATTTCTTCTCAATTTTCTTACGCGCCTTGGGACCAATTTGTTTATCCTTCACATAGTTACTAACTTCTCAAAATGACTGGTTGGCTCTAGGAACCGAGCCAAAACTGACTTCAAGCGTCAGACCGAGAAATCGGTTTGTCCGGGGACACTTTGCGGAGTCCATCAAGCTGGGATTGAATCTGATGACAACCCTAGCTAGGTACAACAGAGCTCGATCCTAGGCAACTATAGCATACCACTATGATAAGTGATACATAGTTCGATAGAGGAATAGACTGAGAAGGCTATCGAAAGCATTCAGACATGTTGAGCGTTAGTTAATATGAGTTCGATGGTTAGTGGTGTAAAGACACCGCAGTCAGACCTTGACCTGCCGTACTCCGTACAACATCCTGTATTGAGGGTACATGTACGCCTTCATTTTCCTGATGGCTCATAGGGCTACTCCTTGCGCCGATCGGGTGGCGATTGGCATTCAGCCACAGTCCACATCAGCGGTCAGTCCACCACGAAAAGCCGATCTCTTACCCATTTTGTTCACAATTTTGACCAATCGTGACCTCGGCTTGTTGGAAAGAACTCGCTGTACGAAGTATACGAGATTGATCTGACGACACCAGGAGGCTTAGATTGACTCTATTGGTCGCGCCTAATGCAAGCTGTGCTTTGTTTTGAATTTTAATTGAATTTCCTTTTTCTAATTTATTGACTTTTCACTTCGTCCCTTGCTTTAAAAGACACTGTCGCTCCCTCTCGATGTTTGCTCGTCTGTGCAACCTAACACGTTATATAGCTTCTCCCGTTCCCCAACCTCTTATCCCACACTATATCTTCACGAGCTTGACACATTATCTCCTTATACAATCACATCCTTCCGATTTATGAAGGAAACTGCTCATTGATCTGACAGCTCAACAATGCCCGTCATTTCACGCCTCGTGTCTATCATCCTCCGCGTTGCGGAGATTGCCTTTGCAGCTGTGAATAGCCCTGATTAAGCTCAACTTATTGACCGCATCTGACTCTCTTCTAGGTCGTCGCAGGTGTCATCGGACACTACCTTGCCCAGGTTAACCACAGCGGCACAGATATTGACTGGTGGCCTCAGTCGCGATGGATCTATACTGAAGTAATCGCCGGTTTATCGATACTGCTGGGCCTCATATGGCTGATCCCGTTCGCGTCGGGATTCTTCTCCTGGCCTCGTATGTGCTGGATATACCTGGTGAATATGGAGCAATACTTACTGGAATATAGTGGACATCCTGATTTCGTTTGCTTGGTTTGCTGCATTCGGTGTCCTCGTCGACACCATCCGCCGCCTGCCCTGCGGCAGCATCTGGTCCTGGCACTTTAGAGGGGACCAGACGTGTGGTCGCTGGAAGGCAGCTGAGGCTTTCAGCTTCCTTTCTGCTATTATCTGGCTTGCTTCTGGTATCGTGGTATGTGATGAGATGATACAACCCACATATGAATACGGACTAATAAACTCTCAGGGGATCTGGTTCACCTTCCGTGTTCGCCAAAGCACCTCTGACGGAGTGTAAGTGATCAATGACATCTTCTGATAATAGCGTCTTAATTGATCGATACTGATATACTGAACAGTCGCCGCCGCCGCTGGGGTCGCTCCACCGTCTAGATGTTAGCATCGGGTCGTCAAATATCTGCATGGCAGACGGTATTCCGTCATGCACTACTCCGTACCGATTATGCGCATTGCGCCTCCCGTTCAGCACAGGATTAGTGACATGGATGTTTTAATGATATTTTTGCTTTTTTGTTTTCCTGCTTTCTTCTTATGTTTTTATGTTTACCTCATGATCTGGAGGTCAATGAATTACGACTTACGTTGATACCCTTGGTGGAATAATCTATTAGTGATTTCTTGAAATCTGGCTATTGAGTTTGCTGTTCTATCGTTTTTTTCCCATCTATTTTTAATACATATCTTATTGGACATCATTGTCTGTGTTGTACAGCAGCTATGGACGTTGCCAATGGTTCCCAAATGCTTCTTTTTACACCCACACACCCTCATCTAGTTTCCAATTCCCGGCCCAAATAAATAACAAAGAACAACAAGGCCATTTTCTAGATCTATCAGTCCATGTGTTTCATTTTTCGTCTTTGTCGTCTTTCTTGTTTCCCTTTATTCGCTTTTTTTTCATTCACAATAATAAGCTCAGCATTGTTGGAAGTGCAACGTACGAAAGATATAAATACGCCAGGTCGAGCCATGATACGATATCCCTCGAGCCGAAGCAGTTTTTGGCCATCCATTCTTGACCTTCGAGTTAGGGATTCATCTTCCCTAACCAGCGTTACCACAGCCTTCTGCTGGCTTCGGATTTCTGCTATCACTGAGAAGCCATGTCAGTGATGCTAGACACCACTTCGGCCCGGCTCTTTCATACCACGCGCACTGGATTTCAAACCCGCTGCCAGCAACTCATTGACGACTTCCTTCGCGATGGCTTATCCCTTCAGGATGAATTCCATGATAGGGTTATTCAGCTCCACCTATCATTGGAACAACTTAAACGAGCCGGACAGATGATGGCCATTGATTGTTCGACAAATGAGCTTGTGGCTGTTGTCCCTATCGGATTTTTCACCGTCCTGATCGAGCGTCCTGGCCAGAACTCAATGGCCGAGTTTGATTGGGCCTGTATTTACACCACTGACACTTTGAACATGCTGACGAGTGAGTCGTTTTTGCGCCAGAGGGCCTCCGCTGATATTGCCCGCATTCTCGAGACCCAGTCATTCCTCTGGGATTTGGTTGTGCCGTTTCCTGTAACGCTTTCCTGTGCTGAGGATTCCGCCCCAGACCCATATGTGAATGCTCTTCAGATCCCCCCCGCTGCTAGTCTGGCTCGTATGAACTCTCGGATTCCGGTGAGGCCTCGCCCTACTCCTCCTGTCGACACTTACATGGCTTACAACCGGCCTGTCCCTGGTCCTTATCCCCTTGCTTTGCCTCCACGACCTGTGTCTGAGTCGGAGCCTGAGTTGGATGGTGAGTCCCCTACAGGTGCTAACGCTGTGGGTCTTTATAGAAACCCCAGTATGCATCCTCGGTGAACTCTTGTTATTCCTGTGTTGATTTCCATCATCCCCAGTGTTCGAGAAAAGGAAATGAAAAACAAGCAAAAATACTCACGTACTTGCATTTTAGGCATTTCGTCATCTAATCTATTTTCGCATGAAAATCTAGAGAACTATAGCCACTTTTTGACTTTCAGTAGCAAAAGTCTTGATCAATATATTGAGCTTCTCCTGCCAGAACTAATGGATGCGGTGGAAGGCGAAGCCACCCTTGAGATAATTGTCATCCTGAAGACGTTTCTATCACCAACTCATTTCAATTCTTCGATGGGAAGCTGTAGCTGTCCTTCATCGGTCCTCTGAACGTCACCAGAAGTTAGGTGGACAGATTTGGGCATCCAGGAGCAGGGTGGCAGGACCCTATGCGAGTTGCCGTATATGGTGTGTACGAAGGTAGGTGTGGCTAGCTCACTAGTTATCAATCCGCTAGTAATAGTCAAGCGTCCTTACTAATATCCGAAGACAGAACACCGAACAAAAGAGAGGCTTAGTGAGTTGTTACATTCTCGACATTGTAGATCGTCTAGTCCACCCGTGGAGCATACATATTTACTGATGGACACGAAACTGAAACAAAAATGAACGCCGGAAATCGAGACCAAGGAATAAAAGCTTGGCCTTCAAATAATATGAGCAAGCCCGTGGCCAGCTGAAAAGACTAGACCATCCCTTTCCCAAATGCAAATAAACCTCATTAAAACATCCCTCCGTAATCAATGTTGCAACTCCGAGCAGGATTAGCCTGCTAAACATAAATCAAACCCTCCCTATTCACAAAAAGCCCTTGGTGTTGCTGGGTTGCCGCTGGGGAATGTCATTAGATCCATAGACACCACTCCCGCGACGGCTTCCAGTATCACTGAAGGTCACACCACGTCCAATAACGCTGCCTCGCTCAACGCGCAGGGCTTTCCAGCCCTCCAGCTCGCGTTCCAGTCGCAATGCTTTCTCACGCTCCTCGCGGAGATCTCGCTCGGCGCGGCGGGCCAGCAGCTGGGCGTCCGAGTCATTATGCTGAATCTCCTCGATGTTGCGAAGGAGCCGTTCAATCTTGTCCCGAGCTCTGTTGACCTCGTCAGTCAGCTGAGTGTTCACCTTGTCTCGCCTGTCAATCTGGGATTGGAGATCCTTGACGGTGCGATCAACATTGCGAAGAGAGCGCTGCTCGGAGCTGTGCTTGCTCTCCTGTTCTTCGAGGTGGGTCTCAAGCTGAACAGCAGGGTTAGTACGGAAATCACAGAGACTGAGCATGGAGCCATTTGAACTTACCTCCTTGATCCGCTTATGCAAGAAGCGAACATCCTGGCTACCAGAGGAATAACTCTTGGTTTCGAGATCGAGACACCGGAGTTGGGCTTCCTTCAGCTGCTTCTCAACTGCTGCCTTCTCCTTGAAGAGCTGAGCATTAGCCTCCCGCTCAGCAGTGACCTCCTTCTGCATTTCAGTTGCCAGGGCGTCTGCACGGCGCATCTTTCCAACCGCGGCGGCAGAAACATCTTCCTGCTGCGCAATTCTAGACTTGAGCTCAAGAAGCTCGCGGTCCATACTGGCAGCGTTTCGCATAGATGGGCTTTCACCCTTGGCAAGGTCCTCAAGTCGGTCGCCAGCTTCGGCCAATCGACCTTCCAGCATCTTCTTGTCTTTCAGAAGCATATCACGCTCTGCTTGAACATCCTCAATGGAGGTCCGAAGGGTGCGCACCTGGGATAGGAGTGAGACAACTTTACTCTGAGCCTCGTTGTGTGCGTTGACAGCTTCGTCACGAGAATTGGTGACATCCTGCAGGACAACATCCATCCGAGATTTTTCCTTAGCCCATGTTGAGCTATTGAGAACTTCGTTGTCCCATTTGCTGCGAAGATTCTCCAACTCCTCACGGAGACGAGAAGTCTCTCCACGGCCGTTGAGGACACGCTCACGTTCCATCTCGAGTTCGTTGTTGAGAGTAGAGAATTCTCTCTGGTACTTTTGTCGGGTCTGCTCCATGGAGGTCTCCTTGTCCTCGAGATCAATCGCGCGCTGGTTGCGGTAATCTTCGAGTTCATTCTGGAGACGTTGCTTAGCCTGCAAGGCACCTTGAAGTTCCGCAGCTTGGTCCTCCATCCTAGCCTCGAGGGACTGTGCCTGTCGCTGCAAGTCCTCAACAAGCGCATCCATCTCCTTGCGCTCAGACATAATCTGAGCGCAGGTTTCTTCGGCTTCTTGCCCTTGAGATTTGGCGAACTGCTCGGCGCGGGAAGCCTTCATAACTGCAATTTCGGCCTGCTCGAGTTTGTTGAAGTATTCATCGGAGCGACTCTTGTACAACATGAGACTTGACTCCAGATCAGCCGATCTCGAAGACTCGGCATCTAGGCGAATCTGGAGATCCGAGAATTCCTGAAGAAGCTGGTTACGGCTAACTGCATCTTGCTCTCTGCCAACTTGCAGCTCTTGGGCCTCGGAAAGGGCATCACGAAGTTCAACCTCCAATGTGGCTCTGGCGCGCTTCAACTTTTCGAACTGAGCCTTGGCATCACCAAATTCCGTCATAGTTTCATTGTGAACCTTGAGGAGTGAGCGCCTAGATTGCTCTTGTGAGTTGATAAGGTCATATAGTTCTTCGTGCGATTTAGCTTGAACGTCGCGCAGGGACAATTCTCCGGAGCGGATGCTACGTTCCAACGATGAGACCTTCTTGGAAGAGTCGTCGAGTTGGTCGTGAAGACGGCCATTCTCTCGCTCGAGAAGCTGCATGCGACGGATTGACGGACTTTCGTCCTGCCAGATATCGGCGGTGGGGGTAGAGCGTCCAAGCTGGCTCTGGAGGTGCTTGTTTTGCATCTCAGTCATCTGAAGCTTATTCTGAAGTTCTTCCAGCTCAGCGGCTGTATCCATGCGCCTTTGATAGGCCTGTGTGTCCACTGTTCGGTCGGACCTCGCGGAGTCATTCGGTGCTTCGAAGACATTGTAGCGTCGATTTGGAGTGGTGGGGTTAGAATATTTCTTAGCAGCATTTTCGGAGTTCTTCCTGAGGTGAGCCGGGGTACGGTTGTTGGTCACTTCGTTTTGGTCGATCTCCTCGAGCAAAGCGCGCTTGGACGATGAATATTTGGCGTCGAGCTCCTTCATTTCATCCCCATGGCGTCGGCGCATTTCAGCAAGCTGGCTCTCCGCTCTCGCGTACTTCTCCTCGGTAACTCCAAGCCTGTTTTGAACAGTTTCAAGGACCTGGGCCAGATCAACTTTCTTAGAAAGGTGTGGCTGAACAGCCTCCCAGGATTGAGCTGGCTCAGTAGCCTCAGGCTCGAAGACCTTGTGTAATAGGATCAATTGGCGGTGTAAGTCCTCGATCTCTTTGTTCGCCCTATCAAGGGTGCCCTGGGTTTGACGGGTATTAGCTTGAGCTTGATTGCGAAGTTGCCGTTCGGTTTCGAGCTTTCGATTGGCCTCTGCTAGTTGCAGGTTCGCCGCTGAAGCAGCCTTTTCAGCATTACGACTGGTTTTGTGCTCGCGATTGACCTCATGATTCAAATCCTCCAAACTCAGCGA